AGTGCTAATTGGCAGAAGCTAGCAAGTGAACACGCAAAAGTAAGAAGCCTAACATTGAAAATATTATAGTTAATGGTTAAACTGAGCATGTTAGCATTGAAAATGTGGTCGACAAAGATATGACTATGACTGTTTTGAGTGTAAAATAAGAGAAATATACATAAATTAATTTAAAAATAAAACAAGATTAACAGATGATTATGCCACCTCAAGCTAATCTCATCTCCAAGTCCATTGAATTTTTATTTTTTTTGACGCAGCTGGATAGTAGAGAAGTATCTTTGTGATCAGATTATGTCTTCAAAACAGCAGTAAGTGTAATGAGACAACCTGTGGTGTTTTTCTAATGGCATCTGCAAGACAAACAAATGCTCTGTGATTTGAATCTATTCATTAATATGGTCTGAAATGTAAAGATGATGATTAGGTGAACTACAAACACTAACGTGTGCCACTTTATGTAAATGAACCAACTGTGACCTTTTCTTCCTCAGCAGTGATCAATACTTGCATTTAAAGAACGAGTGCACATTTCATTCATCATTAATTCATCAGATTTTTTTTTTTTTTCCAACTTCATTAAATGCTAATATTATCCTCGCTGCTGCTCACCTCACCTGCCAGGACTCAGGGTGCATTCAAAAGCCCTTAAATCTGAGGGGCATTCAGAGCACAACAAGATGAAACCAAGAAGAGCTAGCTTTAGGCCTTTCCGGCTGCCAAATATTCTAAGGTCAGATATTGTGGGGACATGGGTCGGTTAACTGCTCTCGAAGCTCTTTCAAGTGATGCAGGTTGTAATTTCCTCTGAGTGTAATGTTACAGAAACTTCAAAAGAAGATGGAGGCAATAAATTGTCCCATTATAAGCCACCATGCCAGGTTAGCTAACAACGACCTATTGCACAGCTGCCAACTCTCACACACTGACAGCAATTGACTCTAATCACATTCACTCACACCACATCTCCTATTTATCACACAGTGAAAGTCTGTAGTGCAAATGGAGAAAAGAAAAGTTCTTTTTCTCACTTGTTTTCAAGTCACTTGTGATCAATATTTCTTTCATTTGTTAGCATGCATGCATGAGTTTCAAGAGGGAACCAGTCTTGGTTATGAGGAGAGGATGAGTCGTTTGTTGTAGATAGGGCTCTTGAGTTATTACATTTATTAATAATTTAACAATTAGGGAAACTGTACCATTGCTATATTGGTCATATATCTAGCAGTCCTGCGTCATGCAGTTCAATAGTTATCAAAGAATGTGTACAATTGACTTGATTTTTAGGATTTTTAGGATTGGCATGACATTTGGTGTGCACATTCATGACCCCAAGAGGCAGAAGCTGATTGGTTATGATAACCCTATGCCCTCTCTTCTGGTGCCACCGTACACATCAATTTTTTTTTTGTTTCCACCAGTCAAAGTCAAAGTCTACAAAATCTCAAAAAGTCTCCACTAGATTGGCAGTAAATTTCATCTGCACATTCGCATTCCCAACAGGAACAGACCTATCGATTAGCTATGACCCCTGTGACCTTTCTTTGACAACACTATCAGGGCAAACTTTCAATTTTCAATCTTCTGGCCCCGAACACCTACTGACACAAAGCGAGAGCTACCTCTAGGGCCAGCATCAGGATAACCTTCTGATTCTCAAGCTCTTGAATCTCCTACACTTTCAGTCGCTCTTTATTGTTTTATGCCATTTACTACCGTTGACCTCACAGCTGCAGTTTGAAAGCTTGTCTTGTAAATTACTGCAAAGTGCAATAAGAATTGCAAAGATTGTTCCAATAAAACCAGGACCTACTACTACTTTGTGAATTTTTATTGGCCAGTCCTATTGTATGGAGAAATAAAATCATGATGTCTGATTCCTTCTGTCAGCCTTTGAACATCTTTGGGGAGGTTATAACTTCAAAGGCTATTTCAATGTTGATGGCTTTATTGGCAATAAATCAAGACTGGCAGACAATGCCAGCTTTCAGTCTGCCAATATGGTTCAGTCATTGAATTTGTGATTCCTTCAGGACATTTCTTTATTGCACCATATGACTTCATACACCTAGCTGGTATCCAATAAAGAATGGAATGTGAGAGTGAGTTCCTTTAAAGAAAATGTGTGTTTTTCAGGCGTTGACGTCATTTTTATAGCAGAGATGGTTGTCATGTTATTGCTAAATCACTGTGACCTTGAACAATCACTCCTACGATTAATCTCCACACTAAGTTGCAATCAAGCACCATCATCTAAGGTATGAGAGTATGACTGGCACAATGTGCTGCATGTCAGCTATCTATCTGTAGACCAGTCACACTGCAGACATTTCGACCTGTCAGACACAGTATTATTAATAATAGCATTAATCATGTCAGCGTGCCATTTAGGTGTGCTACTTCCCCGGTGTGTCTGCCTTTGTTAATGTTATTAGTTACACCTGCAGTCACGGAGAATGTCTCATACCGGCCCCAGAACAACCATGGAGACTGTCAAACACTGCTACAGCTTTAACTATGCTGAACTGGGTTAAAGGAAATGAACAAATGAAATGAAACCCTAGCAAGTATGAGCACGTTGAGAAAAAAAAATAAAATAAAATGACTGAATAAAACAATGAAGATTTGAATCCAGTTACCACAGATTTGGTGTCTCATGTTACTAAGCGGCCTCAAACAATGACTACCGCTAAAGGCCTGTGATAGGCAGGTACAAAAATACAAAATGCTGAAGCTGCCGAGCACTGAGCTGAGATGTTTTTTTTCTTCCCGTCTCCCTTGTTTCAATCTCTCGTCTTTTTCAGCGTTTGGCTGAGTCAGACCTCCCACATAAAAGTGGCTTATTGTCAAAGTAAGAGGGGAGTTATAGGGTGGATAAGAGGGAGGTAGAAGTAAAGATATAAATGGTGAAGGGATTTAGTCAGTATCAGCTTCCTGAAAGCAGCTTTTATCCCTCTCCTCCTTGTTGAAATGACTTCTCACTGAGTGACCCCGCTCCATCCTGCCCTCCTTTGAGGTCTTGATCCATGAAAGCAAAAAGTTCTGGAGTTGGTCGCATTGCGGCCAAAGGGCAGACGCCGATCAACAACCAGGAAATACAGTCCTCTCTTCTTGACAATGAAGGGAAAAACAATGCAAATATAATCAGAGTATTTCTATTTTTGTGTTGGAAGATATGAGTCATGAGTTAACAGGCAACAGCTTCTATCCCAGCGGGCTTTTGAGACATTTCATTTTGAGTAACAGCTCATATCAAATTTGATAAGCATGGAGCATTGCTGACTGAAATAGAGTGCATAATTCTATAAACAGGACACATACAGAGAATTCTGGTTCTATCAGCATGCCATGTCCTTTTTCCAAGGTGCTTCCTGTGCCTAAAAATACTTTACTCTCCACTTGCAATCAAAATCACACCATGTATCTTTTAGTGCACTTCAATGCTTGTTAACAAAATATGTTTAGCTTTTACATGGTCCTGTGTGGGAGTCTGCATTAACTGTTTGTGTATGAGTGTGGGTGAGTGTGGGTGTGTATGTATGCGTGTGGTTGACATATAAACAAAATGTTTGCTGAATTTGGATCATTATTGTTTTATTTGCAGGATGGCCCATGCAACTCCATGCAAGACTCTTTCACATACTCATGTGCCCGAATCACTAGAAACAATATTGTTCACAAATTATCTAGTGGAAAAAAAGTGACAGTCAACAATGACATATTGATGAGATCTGAACCATCACACAAGTTTGTGTCAGTTCTACCAAGAATGATTCTCCTGCAGCAATGTTTGTAAAAAAGCCCGCATTAAGAATTCGAGTCGAAGCATTACCCTTCCTACATAGAATATTTTACACAGCTCGGGATTTTGCTTAAGGGCAAATAAAGAGTACACCACTGCACCTGTGACACTTATTACCGGGCACTTTTTTTTTTCATTTCGGGAACCCAACTCAACTGCCTGAGACGAAAGATTTTAAAGCTTTGTCTGACAGACTGTCATGTAAAGAAGATGTCCTACTAAGCAACTTTATTGTGAATCACCTCTATTGTTTACACTAAAACAAACTTCATAAATGCTTTTCTACTCTTGGCTGAAATATTGAGTTATGGGCACAAAAGTTAGATGTTCTGTAAGCCTAGTTTAATAAACAGACTTCCCCAGTGTGAATCCAAGAACCCTAGATTGTGACAGGAACTTGCTATAGCTTACCCTTTTAGTATTCAAAGCTGTCTCTCATTCTTTATCAAGTCTGTCTGTCATGTCTGCTCTTGGGACTGATATACTGTAGACTCCACTCAGGTTCAAGGCTGAATTACCAGCTGTGCAAAGCAGAAAACTGGCCTGGACCCTGTAAACCCCAGGTTCACTGTGTGTCAGCTGCCTTTTAGTAATTTGATTACCTGCAAATTTGTTAAAAGTGTACACCACTAAATTACAATATCAATTGACTAATACTTTATTTTGCAGCCGTGTGACCCTGCCTATAGAAGGCCCCCTGTTAAAATCTAGTTCTAACTTTTTAATTATTTTAGTTTATATTGTGCTCACACTGAGCATTTTCATAAATAAAACATCACAAACTGGCTCATTTGGGGTTTCTGGGGTCAGGATACTTAGGCACAGGCAGTGTTCCAATATAGGAGTAGCTTAGTGGTTATTTTCTGGATCTACATGAAAAATATAGGCCTAATGAAGCTGCCATGAAGCCTGCTTTTATGGGAACTTGAATGCAACACAGGCTTAACAACCAACTTCTGCTCCATACCTCCATAAAATGTCAAACGGGCCACATTAGATTCATTTTAGTTATTGTATGATTTGACTGTAGCCTTGGCTGGAGTTGGGAGCCAGGTTTGACATCTCAGGCCTACGCGTCAGCACAGCCAGCAAGCGGCGCTTCAGTCCCAGCTCTACTCTGCCGCTATCGCCGAAAATGTCCATAGAAGATCGAGTTACACTACGCCCCATCTTTAAGCCCCAGTCAGTGCGCCGTTAGCCGCAGGACAACAGAGGATAGGCTAGGACGCTGGCCGCCGGGAAACTAAAGGCTCCACACTCATGTAAGTGGTTATTTTCTGATAAGTTTCGCTCGAGGAAATGTGACTGAACATTTTGTAATTAAACAAATAACTGCAGGTTTTGAAAGAGTCGCCTTTGTTCGCTACAATGTCGCTAATGAGGGGGAAATATTCTGAGACGCCTGTTGTCGCGTTTGGTCACTACGCAAGAAAGACGGGATTTAAACAGCTTTAAGTGTCTGTTTTCAACTGTAAAGTGTTTTATGTATACTGTAAGTAGCCACCGTGGGTATTTTTAGCCACAAACCAGCGATACTACTTAACTTCTTTACCGTCTCCTCGTCGGAAGCCTGTTGCTTTCTTGCTCCATGGATGAGATGGGGAAGACGGAGGAGGAGGAGGAGTTGAGAAAAGCGGATTGTCCCAAGTGCCTTGGCGACTATATTCAAAATACTAACAAACCGCTTTACTAACATTATAAAGTATTAAGTAGGGACATAGAAAACGCTTTACTAACATTATAAAGTATTAAGTAGGGACGTAGCCTAGTCGACCGACATCGCCTATTATTTTGGAAAAGAACTTGCCTACACGGTAAAATGACAACCTGTTATTATTAGATTTTTGTGGTCACGGCAAAGCTCAGCCACGACTTCACCAACGGTTATTTTCGGGGTAAATGCACCTTAAAGCTCCCATGTTTTGGGTTTTGGTTCACTTTGAAACAGACGCTAACGAGTTCCTTAGGCCTTCAGTGAATCATTACAAGCCATTGTGCAGCTTAAGGAACCATCTACCGTACTTTTTTACAAGACCAATATATTAGAACGGACACTCAACTTGTGTCCCTGAAAGCAACATATATAATACTCCATTGTCTCTGTAATATTGTAATAGCTCAAGAGAAAATGTAAAAAAAATAAAATTAAAAAAAAGTAGGCTATAAAGCCACTATACAGATAAACTAATTAAAAGCCAAGACCATATCATATTACAATATTATAGGACTGTGAAATGTATATAGCCTATTTCTATAAGACAGAATATCAGTCTGTTGAATCGTCATTTGGGTGGTCATACAGTTAATTGAATAAGTGTTTCAATAGCACTAATAAAGTAGTAAAGATAATCATATTTATGCAGCACTGATATCTTTTCATGCAGCAAATTATCAGTAAAGAAACTGCTCCAAAATAAGTTTGACTTTACACCAGTACATGAAACAAATTCACAGGTTTAAGACAAACAAAATACACAGCAGCCACATGCTGTATTTAGAAAGCTCATTTGTCAGTTGGAAAGTTATAACCATACAGCAGATGAAGCAAATGGAATGAACATAAACAAACCAGTGCTGTGGTGATCCTGTTGCCACATGCACTGTAGCTATTCTAAGAGTCTGTATAGGGCTTTTAATTATCTTACCGATCTCCTTTAATCGTGTAATGTCTCCCTGAGTCATGCCATGCTTATAACAAAGCCACTTCTAAAGTCAAGTGTAATGTTCATGAGATGGGAGTTGACAGGCATCACACCCTTAATGAAAGCATCAGTCAAATGTAAAGACAAAACCACCGTAATATGTTATCATTAGGCTTTAAAGGTGTGATGTTTAAAGGTAGGTAGATAAAATGCTTATGTATGTAGTTTAGCTACTGTCTATGTATTACGAAGCACCTGCATTTTGAATTACAGAGTAGCATGAATTTAATTTAGATATCTAGATAAATGTATGTAATGTCTAAAAAATCCCCCAAACATAAATAAATAAATAAAAGCAAAACTAGTGAAACTGGACACTGAAATAATGACGCAAGACGGTTGTTATGTTAGGTTTAAAATAACTGATAAGATTGTTTGCCTGCATGGGATTATTAATCATCAAAATGTTGTCTCAGCAAGAAGAATATGGATATATTTATCTAGAAGAACAATGGACATTCATATTCAGACATGAGCCAAAGTGCATTGAATGAAGTCCCAAGAATGTAAATTACCAGGTGTTAATCTATCAATAAGAGCATTAGTCAGCTGTAAAGGAACCAACGACCTACAGTAGATGTGTGCTCAAACAGGCTGCTTGTAAAGAGACTCGGTGGCACTGTGCTGGGACTCAGTAAATAGCTTACAGTTCGTTAGCACAATGATTACTCTTTGATTTTTTGATGAACCATTCTTAAGAGATAAATATGGGCCAGGCAGAAAGGAAAGAAAGAAAATTTCCCTTTCATGTTGACCTTTTCAATAGAGAATGTGAAAGAGGTTGGGTTCAGAGGAGAATGAGCCTTTGCTGCTCTTATTTTCTGTTTGTATGAGTGTGTGTGTGTGTGTGTGTGGCTGAATTTGTGTCCTGATATTCAGTCCTCTGATTGTTAAGAAAAAAACATAAAACACCGTTTTTCTTTGCAGGCCTTGAACAAGGGGAGAGTGTGAAACTGCTGTTAATGGAGAGAAATCACATTCACCTGGAATAAAGAAAATGATTGAAACAATGGGTAAGTCATCATATCGTACTGTTTGATGGCCGCCACATACACCTGATTGAGTCACTCAGTTATTTATTGTAGTTTTTAGTAGAAGTTCATTAAAGTACATTTTACAATTGGTGTATACCACAGGCTTGTATCCCTTACATCTATTAAATGTTTATTTTTCTTGCCTATTTCTGTCACTTATTAAACTGAAACAGGCCAAGCTTTAGCATCTCGTGTTGTCACGGTGACATTATTGTGATGCCATTACAAATACTCAAGTCTAATAAAGATTCAAAAATACTGTGATAAACAAGACACAGAATGGAATATTGCTGCTGTGCACTCACCGAGACTTCTTTTGTTTTAATTTCATTTTTTTAAATGAGCAGTTTTTGCAAAGGGGTTTGGTCTAGTCAGTTGGGTATCTGTCTTTGCTGGCTCTGCATCCAACATTTGGCCCCTGCTGTGAGTTTTCTCAACCAGTGTAAGAGGCCCTGGATTCAGTTCAAAGCTTGTGGACTGCCAATGTTGCCATATCTGATAATGTTGCTATATATTTGATTGTGTGTTTGTCCCCATTGAGATGTATTTTTCCAGCTGTCAAGAAAAGGAGCCAACTTGGTGTGACCAGCTTAATCTTTAAAGCTGCAATCAGTGGCCACTCTCAAGACAGCCATGTTTACCCTGTACAGTTGGTCACAATGTGCAGGTTGGGGCAATGGGGTATTATGCACCAGTTGTGGCTTTAATCATTTCAATTCTAGTTTTACCTCACATTTAAAGAAACTGTATTTGAAATTACAGAATTCAAATCAGAATTCAGATCTGACAAAAATGAAATTAGTGAAAAAAAAAAAAAAAATTGGACATTTAAAATTTTGCCATCCCTACGCTCTACTACAAGAACACCCTACCTTTTAGAACACACACAAATGCAAACAAACACACATACGTCACACTCTGGTGGGACTCCTCATTATGCACACTGAGGCGAGAGCAATGAAAACAATACAGGTACCTGCATAGGGTCCAGTGGCAAACAGAAAAAATATCTGCTGAGGCTCAAGTGTTATTGGCTTGTTTACAACCTTTGTTCAAACAACAAAGCATCTCAGTGCAAAAAGTGCTTTGGACCTTGTGCACGCCCTATTAGGTGTTAGTCACAGTTGGTGAGCTTTGGAAATTGCTTGATTTTTGTCCAGATGACGTTGGGCTGGCCCAAACTCGCTAACAAGCCTCTCTGGAGTTGCTCGATTGTGGGGCTTATGCAGGGTCCAGCAAGCAAACTGTGGCCGGCCTGTTTTTTTTCTTTTTTATCTTTTCCTCTTGATACCCATTCTATGCTCCTGTGCAACCCACAATTGACCCTAAAGGCAAAAAAAAGGAAATATTGCTATTCTGGAAACAAACAGTGTGTTGAAAATAGAGGGTTTTTTTTGTTGTTTTTTTTTTTTTCTTGTGAAAAACCTGATGCTACGTGATTTCAATATAGTAAGGTCTGTTGAGCACCAGTCAGCCTTAGCTAAGCCTACAGGTTGTGATGTGTGGCTTCTCCATCCTCCCTCGATGCTTAATTTACATGTCATTGTTAAACATAAAGTCATAAATTTAAGGCATTTGCCAAATGGTTATGGGAAACTGTATATTTTTAACAAGCACATTATTGAAGGTAACATTAAATAAGGATATTTAAATGAATAGATAAGGTCATTTCCACACACCCTTCCCTGTCTCACTATCTCTGCCCTGTACTGATAAAGCCTCTGTCTCACCACCCCTTTCCACGCCCCCCCCCCCCCCCCCCCCCCCCCCCCCAATCCACTCCTTCACTCCGGCCCGGGCTGTCACTGAAATATTCGACGGCTTGCAGATACACAGCGTGCCTTGCAGGCAGTGGAGCGTCTCCAGGCCAAACTGAAGGAGCGAGGGGAGGTGCCCACTGAGGAGAAGCTCAGCCTGCTTAAATCAGTGCTCCAGAGCCCCCTCTTCCACCAGATCCTGGCCTTGCAGAAGTCTGTCCAGCATCTCAGAGACCAGGTAAACTCCATATCCATACACTCCTATCCATAATAATGCAATAAACATACCTACAGGACTGTTTCATCTACTAAAAGTTAAGTCTTGATATATGTAATACAAGGGAGTGGTGCTGGGTTCCCAGGATGCCAAGCCACCATGGGAGGTCATGAAGAGGTTACAAGATTATGGTCATGTGAAGTTCTGCATTATTAATAAATGAGTATAAACTTGCCACAATGCCAGATGGCAGCGTCATACTTTGTGAGTACAGAAGTAATATAAATAGAAGTCATCATGTTTGATGAGAAATAAAAGCCAATTTGTCTTTCTTTTCCTATTATGCTGTTGGACAAGGAGGGGTTGAGGCAGGAGAGGGAGCAATATAACTTATCATTACCATCCATTTGTTTATATGTTCTGTATGTCTGTGCAGTATTATGACTCCATTCATTTTGTTGCTGTTGTGCAATTTATAGTACTGGATTTTTGTCTACTACAAGTGTGTTCAGGAAATAAGGCCTGTACTTCAAAGACAGAGTTGAGTGGCATTGTGGAGCAGTCTATTGTCAGTGGTTAGACCATAAGATCATCCAGAAAAAGGTTGAAATTGAAATTCCTGCATTACCTGTGTCTCGCTATTTATCTTCCCTGTTTCCTGGGTGACCTCCCTGATGCTGTTTCTGGCTCATGTCAAGACACACGCCCTCACTCCTTTCAGTCTCCATCCCCAGTTGTATTGCTGCTATGGCCAAATTGCTGTCAGGGTTCACATGAGCCAGATATAATATGGGTACATGAGCAGAGATAGTTGGTCTAAAGACGGGAACTCTTTTTCAAGCTGATTCTCCCCCATTGAGAATTGAACATTTGAGTGGAAGGAAAAAGCTCTTAAGTCACAGTGGAAAGGGGCCAGGGTAAGCATTTGAGAAATAGAGACGAAAATATTTGAGCTATGCAGTGGGAGGCAGGGATGCTCGAGCTTTTTGCCCCTTGTGGAATTTAGATTATAAAAGCCCTGCTGGCATTTTTGTGTGCTGGCGATTTAGCTTATTTCAAAAGGGGTACATTCCTGTGTGTGTGTGTGTGTGTGTCTGATGGCTATGTGTTTGTTTTACTGAGCAAAATTCATCAAGCAGCCATTCATCGTAAAGTCCCCTCAGTTCTTAAAATGGACCCATTCCATGTTGTGACAATGGTAAAGAGACATATTTCAGAAACTACAACAAATACATGTTCCTCTGTTATGTCTTTTATAGAGCTTCCAAACCCAGCTGCACTTGTTTGCCCCCCTTAAGCAGAAACAATTTGGAGAGAGGCTGCCTTTTGTGTTTTGTTGTGAGACAAGAGCCAGACACATAAACACACACACTGTCCGTCTTCTGGCTCTGCTAGTTAGGCCTTGCTCAGCCCATGTCGCTATGGCGACGAGGCCCTACTCTCCAATGAGAAAGAGGCCGCTGCCACCGTGTGAAGTGGGGCAGAAACAATTTCTTAAATGTGCAAGAACCAAACTGGAACTTTAATCCTCTTAGCAAGGCCCCAGCTAACAAAGCTTATGCATGAGGACAGCAACTTAGCAGCATGCTACGCTAACTTAGCCCGGCCCATAGGGTTTTGTTTGCACTGTGCAGCACTAATGTATCCTGTCCAATGGACTTTTGTTTCTGAGGACCAATTTGGGACTGTATTTAAAGGAGGCATAATTTTACTGTACATGTTTCTCAAGCTCTGAAAGTTAAACTGTCAACTTCCTTATGCAAATGCACAAGTTCACAAGGACAGCTTCTGCTTGTCAGTGCCATATGCCAAATAGAGTGTTTATGAAATTATCGCTGTGAATCGATATGACCATCTGAATTGAATCCAGTTCAGATGGCCATAAACATTACAGCCTTTGGCTAATGAAATCGGAAAAACACTGTTTTATGTAGTTGTCGCATTCATGTAATTCATCTGTCACAGAACTAAAGTCATTGCAGTAATTAAAACCCAAGCACATTAAGGCATCCAGATGGCCAGTGATGCTTTTCCCCCACCATGACAGAAATATTGTATTTGGAGCCTAGTCATTGTTGGAACATCAGCTAAGTGCCATTATCTCCTGAAGGATTAGGCTGCCATAGATCCAGCTAATCATGGTGGGACAACAAACTATCCGCCATCCCTGTGGTTTTAGACACCCACGCCTCAGGGTTTTTGTGCCTAAAATTAAACTTGATAAATGTTTACGTTCATCGTATAAACGAGCCATGATGGTTTTTGTTTAAACTTTTAATTGTCTTTGGATGGGATTAATGCCAGAATTGCTGCGGTGTCCAAGATCAGAAATCCAAAATTGTTTGATTTAGCATTCAAACTGGAAACCAAGCCACAGCTTTTATAGTGAAGGTCCAGTGTCCTTTTCAATTTGATTTGCCTCTATAGTGTTATTTTACGCATGTATTTAGATGAAAACGCATATCAGAATAATCCATCAATCTGCAGTTTGCGACATCACTCGCTACAGGCCTCTTTATTTCTTTTTTCAGGGGAGCGTCCCAGCATCACGTGGGAGTGACCCTGCCGATCACATCACAGCGGCGAAGCCCAATGGAAGCCATGTCTCCTATTCAGATATACCAGCTGCCACACACATTAATGGGAAGACGTCAACCGAAGAATTCGATCATATTATTCAGTCCATGGCACAGGTACAACCAACTCAAACGCCTGTGTTATGATATCAGTGTAATATTATAGGCTAATATAGTGTCATTCTGTCAGGTCCCAGTAGAATTATTACCACATTTTTAAATGTTTTGCTCATTTTACCAGATTAAGACAAATCAGCACCTCATCTGTGAATAGGTAGATCACCTTGAATTAGTCTTCAAACTAAAGACGGTCGAAACCACACACCACAGACAGTGCTCTTCCCTCTTGAGGCACTTCAAATAGACTTCTAAACGCTGCCTGTAGCTTTGATGCTATAGTGAATCACCACGGGGGGCCAAAGTGTACATGTGTGTGTGTGTGTGTGTGTGTATGTGACACAGGGGCGCTACGTGACACATGTGGAGCTGCAGAAGCCAGTGTCAGGAGGTCTGGGCTTCAGCGTGGTGGGCCTGAAGAGCGAGAACCGCGGAGAGCTCGGCATCTTCATCCAGGAAATTCAACCAGGGAGTGTGGCTCACTGGTATGTATGAATCAACATGCCATCATTCATAGAGCTATGAAAGATTTCAAATGTGATTAAAATCTTTTCACAACGAAGTTAGCATTCCAGAAAGTTTTTCAACATCTTGCCAGTTGATGAATTAGAATGAAAAAGTTAGAGAAATTTTTATTTTGCTCAGACTGTGGATTTCTCATGTATTCTTTGAATGAACCATAACAGTTGCCGAAACTATTCTTTTCACAACTTCAAAACATCTCCAGAGTTTAATGAATTTTATTCAAGGAGGAACAAAAACTAAAATATACAATTTTAACCTTCAGAGAAACTGGACAAAATCTAACCAAAACTGCAAGCAAAAATTACAGTGTCACTGAAACAAGTATCAGAGACAGACTGAGTTTAAGTGTCAGAGGCTCTGACAACATTTTCTAAATGACACTCTCTGCTTCTGTCCATACAGTGATGGAAAGCTCAAAGAAGCTGACCAGATCTTGGCCATCAATGGCCAGCCCCTGGACCAGACAGTGACCCACCAGCAGGCCATAGGCATCCTGCAGAGTGCTTCAGAGAGGGTGCAGCTCACAGTGGCAAGAGGACCAATACCTCAGCTGACCAGTCCTGTGGTGTCCCGCACGCCCTCTGCTGCCAGTACACTGTCAGCCAACTCCAGCGCGGTATAAATACATTCATACAGCAAACAGAGAACAGTGGTCTGTATGAGAACATACAGGGTTCACAGTCTGACCAGACGTTTAAGTGGAGACCTAGACTCTTCCAGTTTATGCATATGCTAGGAATATGCACACATGCTTGTTTTGACATTCACATAACAAATCACACATATGCACAGACCCATAGCATCTCAATCCCGCCTGGCAGTGTGACTACCAGAGGCACATGGCAGCACACAGCACAAGATCAAGATGTGCTACTTCAAAGTTGTCCTTGTATTGCAGTAAATAACACTATATTTCCAATGAATACACCTTTTATATATTACATCTGGATATTACATACCCAAAACCAAAGCTTTTGTAGATATTTAATGTTTTAACTGGATAACTGAAACTCTACGTTCTAAAGTTAATCTCTCAAGTATTCCCACAAAATTTCTAGACTTCACACCAGCCATATTGTGTCTTTCTTTTTCCTCTACCCAGTGGCAGCACGTGGAGACAATTGAGCTGGTCAACGATGGCACTGGCCTTGGATTTGGTATTGTGGGAGGCAAGACCACTGGAGTTATTGTCAAAACCATTCTCCCCGGAGGCATAGCTGATCAGGTGATCACATTAATGCATCTCCTAAAGGAGTTTTTTATCAAAACGCAACTGGACTTTGATTATTTGTTTATTTGTTTATTTCCCAGACAAATAATCAAAGTCCAGTTGCGTTTTGATAAAAAAAACTCCTTTAGGATACCATGACCTGGACAAATGAGAATATACACAGGCTGATTAATGCATCTCTATTTTCTTTGGGAACTGGCATTGGGAGGCTTTAGCGTTGTTAATAGTTATTTATACAGAGAATACTATAAAAAGATGATTTTTTGGTATTTTATGACACTTTCAGTGTTGTAGAGAGATGACTCTTGTCAGCTGGGTATAATGAGAGTGAGTTAATTGCAAGCAAGCACAGAATTAACTGTCACTCTGTCTTTTCTTTGGTAGTGACAGTCTCATTATGGGTTTGATTTCTACTGTAGCTACACAGACTAAGACTAAAAAAAAAAAAACCTTTCTACCTCAGGATGGCCGCCTGCGCAGTGGAGACCACATCCTGAGAATTGGGGAAACTGACCTGTACAGCATGGGCAGTGAACAGGTGGCACAGGTCCTTAGGCAGTGTGGCAACAGGGTGAAGCTGGTGGTTACCAGGGGTCCTGTAGACGAGAATCCCTCAGTCTCTGCGGTAATGCCTGTGGTGCTCCCCACTGTCAATGAACAACAGGTGAGAGAGGCTGTTTCACTGTAATGTAAACCAAAAAAGTGACAGGAAGTTGATACAAATCCTTATAAAAAGGGGATGCTGCCAGTCACATGAAATGGATTTCACCATATGAAGAATCCCTATAGTAAAACACTTTGTCAATATCAAGAGGATGATTGATTATCATATATGACACACATTCAGAGTTATACACTTATATCAAGAACACTTCAGACCTTAAGTTCAGGTCTTTCATCTCTAGTTTTATCTGTTCTTACCTCTTGACAGCCCTGGATAAATGGAATTAAAGAATATTGCAGGTTATATCACCTGTGACTCACACTTTTGAGTGCAGATGCTGCTTTAGTTTCTCAGGAACAGCACTTCAGCAACAATTTCATAGCCATTCTCAACAGTCAGCCCTATTTAAATGTGAATGAATTTCAGTGACTCACTATATTTAATGACGAACACCCTTTTGATGCCAGACATAAGCTGTGTGTTTTTTTTTTTGTTTTTTTTTTAATGGCTGACAGGTTCAGAGAACTCATTAATCAAAGTTGAAAACTGTATTTTGGTTAACATGTGGTGCAGTCAGATGACTCAAATGTCATGACTTGCTTTTCCACTGTTGTCAAATGAATTATCCTTTACTTTTATTTGCTTAGTTGATGTTGACTTGTCATTCGCATTCATCTTTTCACAGGGCTATGAAGAAGAGGAGACTGAAGCGTTTGATGTGAGCCTTACCAAGAACGCCCAGGGACTAGGGATCACCATTGCTGGATATGTTGGAGATAAAAATTCAGGTGAGTACCTTGTCACAACAGATGATCATTTTAATCAATTAAGCATCATATTGATATTTAATTACATACATACATTATACATTTAAAAGCTGCATTGATCAATATTTTTCTAGCATATAAACAATGGATGAAATGTGAAATGTGAAAGGGGTTGCTCAAACCCAGTTTTATCACAGGTTATGCTAATTGACCAAATAGTGAAATGTTAGCTTTGTGTATTTAGCAGCTAAAGAGAAAGATTTTATTTTTATTTTTATCAGGAGTCCAAAACAGAGCTAAAAAAGGGCGAATATATCGGTACTTATATTTATCAGAACAGAAACACAGCTTGAAATGAATGCTAATGTTGCTCCATGTCTAATGGATATGGCAGTCGTTTGCAAACACTTTGACAATAAAGCAACTATATATGGTGGTGTCAGTGTTGTGTTTTTAGCTTTTTCCACTGCTCTCGATGTGCAAAATAGTAAAATAAATAAACAAAAACAAGCAATTAATGCAACTTTCAAATATGTTTTCAATTCTATCTGCCTTAAAAATTCTAGCCATTAGCTACAATAAATAGCACCACAGAAGGCCTTTTATTATAGCATGTTATATTCATTGAATGGAATTGAATTGAATATTTAACTGCCTTGCCTGAAAAGTGCTCTACATTCTTTTTATTTCCAAGGTAGGCTTAAGTGCACCGGGTTCGAAACATCAATGTTTATGACTTATAAACATGCTGTCTAACTGACTCTTACCATCAAGCTCTACCACATCTGTTTCCTTTTCTCCTTGAGTCTTATTTAATGTCATGATTCATGGCAATCTTCCTCATGCCTTTAATGTTTTTTGTCTTGTTTTGACTTCTCAGAGCCCTCTGGTATTTTTGTTAAGAGTATAACAAAAGACAGCGCCGTAGATCAAGATGGCCGTATTCATGTGGGAGACCAGATAATAGCTGTAAGTACCCCATTATGCTCTTTGTAGCTATTACTATTTTCTCTGTCTTCAGTTGCATGAGGTAAAATATGCAGGGAATGTTTTGGATTATCAATTACAGTGATCACATTTACTCATTCAGTCAGTGGAGGGAAATAATGAGATACATAATTTTGAATAATTCACAATTAACTGATAGTTCATAAAGTGTTTTTGTGACTGTGAATATTAAAAAAAAAAAAAAAAGTCTTGAATTAGCACAATGGAGCAATTAAGTTTTAATTTCATTACTGCAGGACATTAACAATGAAGTTAAACTGTGTGTAATTTCCTTCATCTTTTGAAACACGATGTTAATGTCGGCCTGTTTTTCCTCAAGTTCTCCCAAACTCTTGTTTTGTTTGGGTATATTGATGTGTGTGTGGGTAGGTGTGCTTGATTGAGTTTTGTCCTTAAGTGTAAATGATAATGTGCTTTGGGACTCAAATTAGGAACTTAATTGGCTATGAATTTATTAAACTGTTCTCACCTGCCCACAATGATCTAAATAAATAAAGTGAATTGCTAAAATAGATTGGAATACCCATGTGCAGCACTTTGTTTCTGTGTATGCCTGCTGGTTTTTATAATCACTTTGATCCTTTTCATTTCAATTTCACCTATGTCAAACAAGAATATTGATGGCATTTAAGCACATTCGTAATGTATGCACAAGGTCTTTTGCCCCGATTAAATCCATGGGCTCACAAATGATCGCCCTCTGCAGGTCGATGGTGTAAACATACAGGGATACACCAATCAACAGGCTGTGGAAGTGCTCAGACATACCGGCCAGACAGTCCATCTTAAGCTGATCCGGCGGGGCTTCAGGCCTGATGAGATCCCCCCTGCTGTGGCCCCCAGTGTCACCATCCTGCCCCCCTCTACCACCATCCCCACCACCACCACCGTCATGAGGGAGCTCGAGCTGGAGAGGAAGAAGGCTGAGGAGGCTGTGGAAGGTAGGATAAAGGATAAAGTGAGAGAAATTTAATGAGGATAGGAAAAAAAAAAAAATAGAATCCTTGTTCCTCATCATCCTGTCAGGAAAAAAGTGTCATTTGATGTGTAAATGTGGCTCAGACAGGAGTGTTCATGATGCAGTGAGGAGTAATTTCCCTGTGACTCCAAATGGAAATTTCAGTCACTTTTATCACTATAGTTACAGCACAGAAACAGAACTTTCTCCAGGCACATATTAAAACAACTGACTTGAGTTACACTCTAATACAGTCTAAACTGATGTCAACATTGTGATAAAATACAGAATGAGAAAGTTGTCCCTCGAAAGAATATGTAGCAGGTGTATTTACTCTGCCACAGAGAGATTTATTTATTAATATGTTGAGCAAACATTTTGCACTGGGAGTTAATATTGAAATTGACTTTTTGCCATTCAGGGGGTTCCTCTAAAATTGAGAGAGTGCACCCACATTACTCATAATTTTCCCCTAATAAGAGAGGGAACTGCACTGCTTATTAGTATATTGTGTTTTCTTATACTGACAACAAACAAGAAAGTCAGAGAGTAAACAGAAATATTCTCATCTCCTAACTGTCCTGACAGGACTTTCAGACTATTACAGAAGCAAGAAAAGCAACTTGCATAAATTGTTTTGTGTCAGTATTGACATGTGGAGATTGAAAGTGATTAGATTTGGCACCAGGACGTTCTAGCCCAAAAACCTGCAGAAGAACTAGCAGCCAGCAGTTGACAGAAAGAGACTGACGAGTAGGGATTGACCGATATGGTTTTTTCAGGGCCAACACTGATACCGATTATTGGTAATCAAGGAGACCGATCACCGATATGCCATCACAAAACTACTGCTGTATAGGGACACTCACCTAGGATAAATAACGGAAACCTCTGAACCTCTGAATAATGTGATATAGCTCCAAACACTACATCCTCTCAAATGGTCACACAGTTGAGTCAACAACTGTCTAAAACTATTTTAATAAACACTGAACATTATAACCTTCATGAAGGAGGATTTACTGCAAGGCTGTTTTATTACTCTACTCTAAGTTTTATCTAGATGTTCCTAATAAAATGAGAAGTGAGTGTATATTAGTAATGATTATTTGTTTGCACAAGCTGCAAACTGATGAACTGTGAACTGATAAACGTGGCAGCCTAAAGATAGTCTTTATGAGTTTTATCATATTATTATTATCACCAAATGTTTCATCCCTCCACTTTTAAAATGTAACGCAGTAACACGGTTACTCAAATACATTTTAACTGAATAACTTTGCACTTTTGCCTGAGAACATCTTTACACAGTGATTTAACGTCTACTGTAGTAAAATGTCTTTTTAGTAACAGTGGTTAGTGGTGACGTGCTGACAGACAGTGCAGTGTCTTATCTCCAGTCACTGGAGTTTCTGTTACTGGTAGCGTTTTTTGTTGCTCTGTCTAAACACAGTTAATGTTGCTGTTTTCTTCATCAGAGTGGCTAACTATCCACTGTACATTTAAACTTACATTAGTTCTGCTCCAGCACCCGGCGTTCTCTTCGCCTTTGAGCGACTTAGACTAATTCAGCTGTTGTTTACATGTTATTCAGACCTGCTACTTACTTTAGTTTAGCAGTTGGCGCTAGCTTCCCTCTCTCGCACCCTGTCTCTCTCTTGCTCGGTGTGTCTTGGATCAATAGATTAACTTTTTCATCGGAGTGTGGTGTTGTTTTAACTTAAGTGTAGAGGATTATGATGGTGTGATGTTTTACAACCTCAGTGACGTCTGTTGTCGTACCTCCGACGCACTCCTACCGTTTGCTAAAGGGAGCTGCTGTTTGTTACCGTCTGTGTACACAGCAGCTTTCAGTGTGATTGGCTATTACTCGTAACGTGTAACCAATCAAATCGTATAGTGGGCGGGACACTGCCCCAGACCACAGAGCGGTGACTACAGACCAGAGACAGGCGGCTGAATTAGACCCAAAGTAGCGAATTTTTAAATAAATTTATTTCATTGGTCATCGGTTAAAAAAATAATGATAACAATAATCGGAAAATGCTGGATATTATCGATCCCTACTGAGAAGGACAGTAATTTCTTGGCTGCTGTCAGAAAATAACAGTGCAGAACTTTTTTTGTGAGTGTAATATACAGCATAATAAAGAAAGAGATAAGAGACTTCTTCAAATGCACTACAAAAGGGCACCAATTATCATTTTAAGTGGTTATGTCTCTACAGCTCCCTGGGTGCAAACAGAACAGTTTAGTGAGTAATTAATTCACATTTTAACAAACCTTTAGCTTATGGAATGAGATGATACAGTAGGTTTGGTGTACAAAGCTGTAACAGGTCATTTAATGGTGTGTGGGATATTGAACGAAACTACGCACTTAGATTGTTGTCAAGTCAGTATTAGGGTTGTTGAGTTCATTTTCACTTACCAGACTAGCTAGTATTAGTTTAATGCTGGCACTTAAAAGATGCTGTGTGATGTGAAGTGTAGACCATGGCTTGCTCGGGCGCATAAGTAGTAATTTCATGGGCGACCAGTTTGGTGCCCTGTGGAACTCCAAAGACATAAACAGTACCATGAAGTAGTAAAAAAAAGTACCAGGATCATTAAACATATATTTAAAGTCCTGGAGTGTTTAGGGCCTATCGTTATTGTTAACATCATCAGAGACATGCATATTCTTTTTGGACCAGTAGGGAAATAAGATCAGCTCCTCCTCCTAAAGGAAAGTGATTATGAAAGAGTAGGAAATGCTCAAACTACTCTGGAAGAATTAAGTTGTAGAGCACTAAATAAGCACATGCTTACTTTTACAAATTAATTCAGCACTGATATATATTTTTGTGTATCTTTGTATGTATATGAGCTGTGAGTGGCTGTGTGACTGTAATGTCAGGTGTGTGTGCTTATGCCTGATTCCGCCTGACCAGCTGTTCATTGTGTGTTTCCAGTCACTGTAGATGAAAAGCCGCTCCAGACAAAGAGTGAAGGATCTGATGTCAGCCCAGCCACGGATAAGCTAACAGAAGACAAAAATGGTAGGAGCTTGGATTCTTCTTTAAGTGCATCAGCCAAGATACAGGGCGCACATATCTGACAGATAAGTTCTTCTTGTTGGGACCATACTGACTAGCGACACACAATATGAGGAAAATACTGAGATGGATGCTGTTAGTAGTTTCACAGACAGTGTAGGAGGGAAAAAAAAATTAAGAGGCACAGATAAAAGTTGTCTTATTTTTATGTGGGTCTTGTCTTGAACACATCACAAGTCCTTTGAATGATTTATCATAAATTTGCCTTTATTTTATGTTGTTTTGTATATTATTACAAGCACTTTGTATTGTGTTTTCCAAGGGATGAAGTTAACACTCTTTGAAGAAGAAGAACTAATGAAGAAATGGCAGGGGATTCTGGGTCCAAGTAATGAAGTTGTAGTAAGTTTCATTTTCAAAGTGGATTCCTCTCTCTCATGCATCAAATTATTCATACCACAACTTTGTTCCAGTGCAATTGCTTCTTAATGGTAAACAGCTCAGAACTGGTATCATAAAAGTAAGAATGACCTTCGTCATCAATCAAAGGGGCTTAGCTCATTAACATACAGTATTTACAGATAAAACTTTTCAACCGGCTAACTGAGATATGGTTTGTTGTTTCATGATAGGTGGCTCAGGTGGAGAAGTTCAGTGAGAACAGTGGCCTGGGGATCAATCTAGAAGCCAACAGCGGGCATCATTACATCCGCTCTGTTCTACCTGAGGGACCTGTTGGTCGCTGTGGCAAGCTGTTCAATGGAGATGAACTGCTTGAGGTACGTGGTCACTTCAATGAATTAAAACATTTAACTACCAACAGTGTAGACCTTTTTATGTTACATTTGCTATTAATGTTTACAGAAGTTTAAATATTTACAAGTATTTAGAAAATGACTTTGCTGAGGGGGGCAATTATGGACGTTATGTTACAGTGATATGTAGTGTTTACATCAAAAGAGAGACATGAACAAAAACATCAAAAATTATTAATGCCTCACGACTTAAGTTACTGTATATCAAGATTAATTGCAGTGTTTGTATTTCACCCACAGGAACTGATAAAATATAAACTATAAATTAAAGCTGCACAAAGCAATATTTCTATATTAACAAAAGATGAAGGTCTGATGACTAACTATGTGTAAGATGAAAGCAGCCTCTCATAGTGACAAAACCACAGAGAATCAACACTTGGGCGCAGTTCCCTTCAGTTCCACTGAGCATTTTCCCGTCTTTCAGCACTTTGTTTTGGATTTACAGCCCGCAACTTAACTGTTTGCAGCAGGAAGCTGTTTTCATCAAAAGAGATATAAAATCCCACTGTATTCTACCTACTCAGCACCAACCAACAGACTAAGTTAGCAAATAGCCAGTGAACACAGTTTAGCATTTAGCAGCTAAATTGCCAGATACAACATTTCCCTCAGGATTTGGTGCAGATCAGACTAGACCTAAATAGAGAGTGAATATTAGACTGAAATATGTCAATATGGCCAGAAACATAAAATAAATGCAAATGTTGCTCCATCTCTGCTGGATGTATAAATAGGCAATTGTTTGCTAACAATCACAACAATTTTGTTGAAAATGTGTCAATATTGAGTTTACAGCTTGTTCTACTCCTTTAAAATAGCCCCCAAATTATTAAGACTGCTTTAAACCCTATATAGTACTTATTTTCCTTCTGTGCTAAGATGATTATTTTCCGGCACAGGTCAATGGCATATCTCTGATTGGTGAGACACACAAGGAAGTAGTAAGAATCTTGAGGGAGCTTCCACTCTGTGTATACATGATATGCTGTAGGCCCGCCCCTCACCTGCCGACTGACATGGATGCTGTCCAACCAGAATCAGAGGCTTTGTCCACAACACCTAAATTGAAGGTATGACTTGGCATTTCTACACTATAATAATTTATATATATATATATATATATATACAGTATGTGTACACATATACAATGCTATGCTTAAATATTATGTTTGAAATGCAATTTTTTTTATAACTCACCATCACAAAGAATTTGTTGTTTGAAGAATAAAAATGTAAGATTAATCTTTTCCTTCTCAAGACTAAAATCATGCTGACTATATTACTAGGAGAGCAATGCAGGAGATGATACATATGAGGAGAGCTGGAAAGTCCTTACATCAGCTTGACATACAGTAATGCATCATGAAAAATGTTTCCTCGCCCCTGTATATAAGCAAGGGAATATGATTGGAGAACGATAAGTCCTCCTCCTCCTTTATAACCCATCAGCCATTATTAGCTTAGCCTGGGCTGTCAATCGCTCCATTGGCTTTCCACATTGCCAACCGTGATGGATTAAGACTTAGTGATAAGCTGGGGAGGCTGAAAGTTTATTAAGACCAATTCTAGTAATACCTCACCAGCAGTTGCCAGCAACATTTGCTAGATATATGAAACATCAAAAGCAGCTTTCCTTTGGGGAACGGGTTTTCATCTCTCCAGCTTTATCTGTGATAATGTACTAAGGCCCTACCATCCCAAAGATATTTTCCTTTTATCTACTGCCAGAAACCTGAGCCAGAAACACAACTAGAGGGTAGCAGCCTATGGGCTGGGAGTAAAAGTGGGGAAGGCATGCTGTTACATAGAGATTTTGGGTTTTTCCTCTGCAGAAACAAATAGATCTGAGCAGAGTGCTGGTTGTTGAAGACTCAGAGGTGAACACAGCAGCCGCAGCGACACAGGATAATGTGACAGAGGAGGCAATAGGATCTCCTTTGGCTATGTGGGAGCTGGAGATCCAGAATATCGAGCTCGAGAAGGGAGAAGGGGGATTGGGATTCAGCATTTTGGACTACCAGGTGGGAATTCTTATAGGGAATTATAGATAGTCTCATGAAAAACAGTACATATGTTATTGTGGTGGCAGGAAATATCTTTTTTTGGCTTATTTTACACAAATGTGTTGGTGTAGTGTTAGTTTAATAGATGTTGCTGCATTGTTTATATCGTAATCTTATGGCATACTCTACAAAGTTTACCAAATTTAAAGTGACTTTCCTGGAATTTTCATCTAAGTTGAAAGCTGTGATGGTTGACCTCTTTTCACTTAACTTTACTGGGCCGGCTCCACCACAGGACCCACTGGACCCTGCCAAGACGGTGATCGTGATTCGCTCTCTCGTTCCCAACGGTGTGGCCGAGCATGATGGCAGACTGTTGCCAGGGGACCGACTCATGTATGTTAACACCACCAACCTGGAGAACGCCAGTCTGGAGGATGCCGTTCAGGCCCTGAAGGGGGCCATGCTCGGCAAGGTCCAGATAGGAGTCGCCAAACCGCTGCCTGTAAGCATTAGCGTTAGTATGCTCTCTTTTTTGTTTGCTTTAAATCTGTCTGAATGTACAGTAGGAGGTAGAGTGTGACTACTGCATTGGGGGTAAAGGGACTCGTATATGCGTATCTGTTGGGGTACACTAAAAGTTTTATACATGCTTTTGTTATTTTTTTGTTAATTTGTTCACCATGCCAGGGATTTATCACTGTGTGTGCGCGAGGTTGTGAGTCAGGCTGTCTTTATACCATACGACTTAGTAACCAGTCACGAGGTTTCAGTTTACAAGGGCTTCAATTTTTCATGCTGGAAAATGGTTAAGCATTCCACTCACTGGTCTTTCAGAGGAAGTGACCAGCCTAAAATGCTCTTTGTCCTTTGTTTCTAATGATTATATTCTTGAATTTTCCAAAATCACAGACCCTCTTGTTCATTTAAACACATTGGGGCACCTGTCAAAACATTAAGTCTGTCCAGTGGCATGTTCATTGCTCCAGGCACCTGTACTCTTTGTACAGGATGTTTCTCGCTGCAAAACTGCTCGCATTCTTTCGGCTTTAGAGCTGCATTTCTCTTGTATTGAATCTGCCACTGGATTACACAATGAGACCTCTGGGCTGCCAAGGTTAGCTGGATTACAGAGCTGTAGGAAGCCTCTGTGGGGTTATCCAACTCTCCTGCAGGACGTGGAATGTACTTCTGAGGGGTATTTTGCTGTATTGCCTCTCAAAATTGAGCCTGACAAGTGTAATCCTCCAATATGCCGTCTTACTTTTCCTATACGGTCTCTGTCTGAGCAGCATGCAACACGAAGTCAATATCAAGAGCTCGTCCTTAACAATACATGTGAAATGTTTAAGAGCTGTTCTGTTAAGAATTAATTCAAATAAATTGTGAATGTGTGATTTGGAGAATTTTCTCTGCTTGAAAGCATAGACCAAGATCATTCTTTAACTCTATAGTTAATGTATAAAGTTTCTTAATGATTCCTAACATCTTTCTCCCATTCCATACTAATTTAATAAATTTTTTTTTTACTTGATTTGGTCATAAAAACAATCGAAAAATAAATTTAATAAAGCTGGAGACACTGAAAGAATTTCTCCGCTTTCCTAGGGAATATGTGGATATTCCCAGTCTCCACACCCATATGGTGAGCAGGAAATAACATCATCATCCACCATCCATTCATTTGACTTCAACAGTATTTTGGTTGAAGAAGGAGAGGAAGAAGATCTGGCTGAGGGCATCGTTTACCGAGCAGAGCCTGCATTGGTTAGTTAGCTTTGGGAGTATCTGAAAAATCAATCAGGATATTTTGAAAAGGGGGACAACCAGTTGTACATGTGATATTTGCTTCTGCCTAATTATTTACCAAGAGTGGTCTGTTTGTTTGTTTGTTTGTTTGTTTGTTTGTTTGTTTGTTTGTTTGTAATCATGCAACAGTTAGCTTATATAAGCAGTGTGTTGACATTAAGGGATTTGCTGTACTAGCAGTATTCTGTAGTGAGATAAGTTAGATAAATTTAGCATTAGCGACATTAGGGTCGTAGAATAGCATGTTAATTTCAGCTGTCTGTGATTGGATAATTCACCAAGTTTCTTATTATTTAAGACAGGTTTTCTGTCCCAGTTAGTGATATGATCATCTATTATCACAGATTGACACCAGTGAAGCAGACCTCTCTGATGACAAGGTGTTAGATCATACTTACTCTGGGATTGAGGACGACACTTTCCAGGCGTCCATGATTGCACTTCACGGCAGTGGCTGTAGTGCAGACCTGGATTACTTGCACTCATCCACACCTAAGGTAAGCAAACATTTATATTTTTATATACCACAGAGTATAAGAAAACTGAAAACAGAAGCACAGCTTGAAATTATTTCTTCATTCCATTACTGCAACAGTAAGTGCCCTTTGTTCGAATGAGCTGTAAAGCATGTAGTCATTATTCCTTTGTTTTTTTTTTGCTTTCAGGAGCCAAAATGTCATGAGAAATGTTTTTTTCTCTCTTTGTTAAGGCAGTAACAACATTACTGACTTTGTTGTTATATGAAGAGTATAGCTGCGGTTGATTTTGTTGCCTTAGGTGCCCCTAGAACAGCAATTCCCCAAATGGATATTAAATTATAAGAAAATAAACAAAGAAGAGCAAGGGCTGCACGAAGTGTTTTCCTAGGGGTATCTGTGCTTCCATTTTAACCAAAGGTCACAGTATATGGATGACATAATACAATATGGATAATATGGATGTTTTTTTTTTTTCTTCTTTCTGGTCTATACCTGCTTATGGAACGACAATATAAAGGTCACCTGGGGTGTTTAAGATCAAATAGGCATAGTGAGTTCACAGATATAGCCTCAAAGTCACCGTCAGTGAAACAGTGACAGCTTTTTTACTCATGATTGCACTGATAGATTACAGTCGTGTTACTTGATTTTCTGGTGTCTAGCTTTGGAATTGGTTGTACAGTTCAAGACCACAGAAAAATATATATGAACTCCATATAAGCACTTTAGCCACTACACTCTCTATAATAAGGAAACTGTGCCCTTGGATGAAAATAACAGACCAAACCAGACCAATAATGTAATTTCTTTCTGTGAAATTTGTGATTCATTTATATTATTTGGTTTACTGTACCATATATGCCATATACTATCAACACTCAACCATAATACAGTTGGATTAAAACATGCACAATATACTAGAAACTGTCATTTTTTTCAATGTTGCCTGTAAATTTTTCTATTTTTATTTGTTTGATTATTTGTTCATACCTGACCTCTGCTTTGCAGGGATACCTGAGAATACTTACACCTATAGATGTCACAGCTCAGCACATCCCAAATTTATAGCACTGTTCTATTAAAATTAGACTTCCCATTTCTTGTTTTACTCAGCTTCACATGTCTGCTTATTGAGCCCCACGTGTATTACATATTTGCATATTTTAACTTTTAAAGATTCATACTTCTGTTCTGGCCCCCAGAGGGAATTGCTTGCAGAGATTCATCACTAGCCACTCTGGTTCTAATAAAGTCTCAAATGCTGTTATAATGAAACTACATTTTGTGCATTTCACTCTCAAGATCACCAGTAATTTCTGCTGTTCTCTATTGGCCACTGATGGCTTTTCTATGGCTCATTACAAGGAGGGCAGGATGGCGACTGAGCTAGATGAATCCCCCCCTGTTGGGCAATTGTCTAACTAACAGAGGGGAACGTTCATTCAGCTGCTATGCTATGTTTTACCCCAGCTGACAGCTCGCCTGGACTTGTTGGATGATCACCCGCGCTTCACAACACCGTCCGGCCTCGGAGACAACACTCAAGTGTTCTCACCAGAGAAGTCGGCCTGTTTCACCCCTCCGAGTTTGAGAGGTCACGTCCCGGCTTTTAATGCCATATTAAGCAGTTCTGATCAGTTCCTGGCTCAGCAATCGACCAGAGAGGAACCAGTGGAGTCCTCGAACTCATTCAGCCCGTTTGCTGAAATAGGGACAAGATCTAACGTACAGGAGGAACCTGTGGAGTCCCTTCACTACCAGAAGGAGCCACCCATCCCCTTTGGAGATATTGGAGATATAAAGATTTTGATGAAGGTAAAATAATCTGTCTATCTACCAAACATAAATTTGGAGGATGTAACATATAGTCAGTAAATCTTTAAAAAAAAAATAAGATGAGAAATATTCTGTTTAACTGATGAGTGAGTTGTAGTGATTGACGTGTGGTGAACATCAAAGATCTGTCAAGGTGCATTAAACTAGCTACAAAATAATCCTACTTTTATAAGTGGAATTTTAAAAGGTAACATCTAACCTCTCCTGAGTCGGATGTGAGGCTCTTGTCAAATATTAGATAAACAAAATTTGAAGCTCATTTGTTTTATATTCAATTCCACAGACAGTTCATTGCACCTGCCTTTTCTCTAGAGATGAGCGCTTCGTCTGGAATCCACACTAATGTTTTCATTTACTTTCATGAATAACTGTGTTGAATTATCACCCTCAAGGACGAGGAGGCCGGTGTGAGAGAATCAGCAGAAGACATTGACAAGGCAGTACTGACCTCAGGGAGCAATTTTGAAAGGACTATCACAGTTGTCAAGGGCAACTCCAGCCTTGGTTTGTGATAATTTCTTCACATTCTTTTATTTGTTCTTTTTTATTTCTTTTCTCCTTATCTTTCACAGAAGTGTAAATGAGGTTGTAGTACTGAATGGCGTCTTTGGCCTTTATTTTTGAGTTCTGTTTCATGAATGCCAGATTTGCACGATTTTTGGCTGTTTTCCAGTCTGAAAGGGTAATTCCATTGCTATACCGGGTATTTGCATTTCAAAACCTGCCCATGGGGCTGCTACTGGTTCAGAGAATATTAAGTTTTCACTTCTAAAACAAATAGGTGTTATGAAGATAGTTTTAAAAATCCTCAGTGTATCATTGAAAACCGTACCCCATTTTGCTCTTTAGTACTCTTTGAAGGCCTTTATTTGGTGGGCGATTTAAAATTGCCTCCATAATAATATGTTTGGGATTTGTTTCCTTTTTACAAAATCAATTTCAAATCCACTCTTAAACAGACCACACTAATGTTATGATTTTTGCAAATTAACTCCCGCATACTGTGCTGTTACATTTGGGAGTTGTGTTTCAGGCTTCAACCACACCGTCTCCCAACTGGATAAAGAAAATCATTTTTATTTTAACTTTTTAAGTTTTAGGTAGACTCTCTAAAAGTCTCTCGATATATCATGCCACACTCTGAAGTTACTCCATTGAGGATGGTATGAAAAACCAAATTTGTGAATGCTGTTACACTTTCTAGGATTATTTGCTCTGACATGAAGACGTTTTCTCGTGGCAGAGCTGAAAACTCTGATTTGTACTTTTTCATTCGTAATGGAGTTTCTCTTTAAAGTGTCCCCATAGATCGCAACCGAGCGCTGTTCTTTACTCGAGGAGTTCAGTTTACAACCAGAACCAGTTGCCCTGATATGTTAATAAAAGTATTTGTAATCATTACTGATCAAAATCCATGATTGTGGTGTAACGGATACTTGTGATCTACCTTAAAGGCATGACGGTGTGCGCCATGAAAGATGGTTTGGGGATGCTGATCCGCAGTATCATCCACGGAGGGTCAATTAGCCGCGATGGACGTCTTGGTGTCGGTGACCTCATCCTGGCCATCAACGGAGAGCCCACTGCCAACCTGACCAACGCCCAGGCTCGTGCCATGCTGCGAAGACACTCTCTCATTGCACCGGACATGGGGTAAGACACTGTGAGACTGTTGATAGAGAGCAGCTGCACACATGGTTATTACTGAAACTCTACAAGGTATGAGTTGAATTTGTCTGATAACAGTGCCGCCATAATGCTGTGACTTTCATTACCAATACCAAAATTATGTTTTGTGATACTAGTCTGAAAATACAATTTAATAATGTGAAAGCAAAACGTGTCAAGGTTCTCAAATGCTTATGTTTAATGTAATGCTTTCGAGCTCTACCTGAACAAAATGAATATAGTATTATCAAATCAGGATCTGTACAATGAGTTTTCCCATTAGGGTTTCATTTGTTTGAGTGTTAGCAGTAGCTTGATTGTCCCCTCTACCGCAGCTCTGGTCTGATTTAATTATAGTTCACTGACATTTCTATGAGTGGTACATTTTCATAATGCCTTCTTTAGTACATTGCAGGAGCTATTTTGATGTAAAAGTTTGAACCTGCAATGAGATATCTGAGACTAAACTGTGTGTATATCTGGTTTTTGATTCTCTCCTGGTATTTAAAAAGTACTGAGGTCACAGTACAAAGGTCTTGCGATTGTTGTTCTTTGCTGTTGAAAAATGAATGGTGGTATAACCACAGAGAGTAGCAGAGCTGTCTAGTGTTTGCCATATTTTTTTGGAAGTTAATGCGTATTGCACCTTAAGGTCCAACCTCAATTACATCAGGATTGCTTGTATGCATATCTTGCATTGTATGTATTGTAGGGTTCTACGCACATGAACTCTGGGTGATGTAAAAAGGTGTTACAGAGTTGCAGTTTAATAAGCCAGGGAAACTTTTTTTTTTCTTTTTAAATGCGAATACAGGCTGAGAATACAGGCAAAAGTTCATTCTATTACTTCCACTCCAATTTTACTGCCAGCTACATGATGCATTTAAGGAGTTAACATTCCTCCCACCCTTTTTCGAGGTAAATCGGATGTGGTATTGTACAAGTTCTGCTTGCTGAACTAAACTTGGCAGTGTGTTAGCTTCGGTGCATAAAAGCCAACTCTTCACATTCTAGATCTGCTTGTTCACCTGAGGACGATCTGTGCCCATTTTATGTGTGAGTATGACTAACTTCCACACTTGTGGTGTTTCAGCAAGAAGCTGCCGTCTTCGTTTTTTTTTCTCCTTCCTCTCACTCTGTCCATCTGCTGCCGGGCTTCACTGCAGTCTGTTTAAAGAGTTTTATCCAGACACAGAACTATGAAGTCACTTCTGTTCAGTGAGTGAGGGTAAAAACGGTGAAAACTACAAAATACAATACTTACTGTAAATGTGGAATTCAGCTGATGAAGATGCTGTTTTTAATATCATTCAGATACCTTGATTAACATTTTCATTATGCTGTGACGTTACACTCGAACATTAACCAGCATATATTGAAAAATTGTCTTCCTGCAACAGAACTTAACACACAAAGTCAAAATAATATCTGGATAAATCTTGACTGACTGCATCACTCACTCATTGTGCTTAACTCGCTGCCTAACCTCTTTTCTTTCATTCCTGTGACTAACACGACGAACACCATTTCTAACTCACATCTTAAACTCACAGTTTTTAGAGTGATCATTGGTATTTAAGCTCTCCCATATATTTCTCTGCATGTTGTGATGTTCTTAATGACTCATCCATTTCATCATTTCACTGGGATTCATTTCCCTCTCTGTCCACATGCCGGCATGTTTAAAAAACCAAATCAACCCATCTGTTGAAGCTCTGTCACTCAAATGTGTTAATGTGCCCTTCAGAATCAACTCTGAAGGGCGGAAATGGGGTTTTAAGTGGGTATCAGATTTAGTCAGTTAGCTTTTGGTTGATTTCTTAGCATGAATTAGTAACTCACTTGTGAATTAATAATATACGCCCTTCAAATTTGTCACATGTTCATCACACAATAGGTGATAGGAGACATGATTTGCTCAGACTTTTATGAAGGTAAACATCTGTTTTTAACAGTCAGATGTCAAGAGCCTATATATAATTCATTGACATCTTACCTTGGGCTATTGATAGGGAGAGAGGATTTGCTGAGAAACAAGCTGAGTTCAGTGTTGCTGCAGTCTTGTGAGGTAAATCTGATAGAGTTGAGAAAAACAAGCCTCTGAATGTGAATGAGCAGATTTAAAAGACGCTCTTTTGTTTAATGAAAAAGGAGGTAGTTTTAATGCGTTGATACCAGTTTGTACTTGACTGCCAGTTCTCTATTTCTGGTAAATTAACATGCGAGTTCAGTGAGAGGGCAGGGGCATAACTGCCACTAAGGTGGGTAATTGCCACTAAGGTGGGTAATGGAGTTTCTAAAAATGGAGAAAGCTCAATTGTTTGGTTTAGTTTGACTCATATGAGTGCATTTGTGTGTCTGTGCCTATGTGTGTGCGTGCGTGTGTGTATGTGTGTGTGTCTTCAGCATTACATATGTTCCAGCAGAGTATCTAGAGGAGTACAAGGCCAGCCTAGAGCAGGCTAAAGATGATGTCTTCTCTGAAGCAGCTCCACTCCCAGTTCCAGCACCAAAGTATGTTCTCACACTCTACCAGAATAACTTTTCTCATGATAACCAGATAAATTCAAGGCTGCTCTGTTGAGATTTCTTGAAAACAAACAAAAGTTAAATTTACATTAGTGTTTCTCACCAAACACATTGTGTAAATCCACGAGGCCGAAAAAACATGTTAAATTTATTTCCTCTCTCAAAAAAGCCTTTTTTTTTTTTTTTTAAATCGTGCAATGTTTACATGCACATTTTCTAGCTAGCAGTTTTCTTCTTTCTTGTTTTTGTTGGGGCATTGCAGTGCCTCTTTGTGTGTTACCACCACTCCCTATCAATCAGTAGAAAGATGGGAAATAAACAAAAATGGGACTCTTGTGCTCAAATCTCCACAAGCTTCCTTTAAGCCCTAGAGCTTTAATGAACCCCTGACAATCGCATTAATACATTTTTTTTTATTAAAATTCATCAAACTTTTCTTTCCCCATTATAATCTATTTAGAAATATTCCTAACCTCCCTGAGCGTGAAGATGGAGAGGGAGAGGAAAGTGCCTCTTACAGCAACTGGAACCAACCTAGGCTGTGAGTACTTACACATTGTATCTAACCTTCTGTGCTTTTGTGAACACGTCCATGACACAGTTTACAGAATCAAATCATTAAGAGTCAGAGCATGGAGAGTAAAAATCTAGCACGTTGATACTGATACCTTCCTCAGAGTGGAGTTGTTCAGAGAGCCAGGCAAGTCCCTGGGCATCAGTATCGTCGGAGGCCGAGGGATGGGCAGCCGCCTGAATAATGGAGAAGTGATGAGGGGGATTTTTATCAAACACATTCTTGCGGACAGTCCTGCTGGACAGAACGGGACCCTGAAGACTGGAGACAGGATTGTAGAGGTAAAGGAATTCAAGTCACAGACCATGGATACATGACTAATGAACCTGAGGTTGTTTTTGAGAGAAAAATCCATGAAAAAAAAAGAAATTCAAGTGCGTGCCCAACTCTTTTTCTCTGATATCTCTTTGTCAGGTGGATGGTGTAGACTTAAGAGATGCTAGTCATGAGGAGGCAGTGGAGGCCATACGCAGGGCAGGCAACCCTGTCTCCTTCTTGGTCCAGAGTATTATTCACAGGCCTAGGGTAAGTCTGTATAATACTTCTCAAACCAATTGCTAACCCACTCATAATCTAAAGGTCACAATTTCTTCATCCTATACCTTTTTTCCACCTCCAGTAAAAGTTAAGTGTATCTATCTGCACAGGCCATTCAGGGCACTTTCAAAAACTCAAATGTAGCCTACAACCCTTGTAGTATCTGGTTTGCTTTTGAATGTTGAAAGAGAGTCTTCTTTTATAACAGCAACAACAAGCCCTGCGTGGCATTTTAAATATATTAGCGAGTTTTAACCTAAGTACAACACTCACTTGAAAATCACCGTATCAACAACATCGTTTGTTGTTTGAAAGTGCCCTCAGGCTTTTAAAGCATGACTAAGTAGTTTCCTGCTGGGGCTTCTACTGGCTTGGCTCCAGTGTTAGATCTCTTCATAGTCAATCACTTTTCATGCATTGTTATCTGTGAGATATTCCCACATGCTTTCCTTAACATTCTGGTTACTCATTAAGCCTTGCAGCAACTCATAATGTAATGTAGCACATTCAGAAGGACACAAAGAGGGGGGTTAATACAGAATCACATATTAAACTGTGGAGAAATAAAAAAAAAAAAAAAAAAAAAAAGTATTTTAAAGTAGCTCATTTTAACAGGAAGCAGTTCTGAACAGAGAGGCCCTCAACCCCCCCACAACATACAGCACACACCATTTCCAAACAAAGACAAAGTTAGCAGTGGAGTAGTTAGCCGTTTAACTCAACAGCCTGATGTTTCCAAAAACAGAGCTAAAAGGAGAGTGAATATTGGACATACATCAATCACGTGGAAAGATAATATGATTATGTATGTATTTGCCAGTTCGGTGAGAGATATTGATATCACTTTCGTGTCTGTTCACTAAATCGGTTGCCAGCAGGCAATTAGCTTAACGTAGCACAAAACTGGAAACTAGCTTTAGAGCTAATTCTAAAATGTCCGTTACTTCATGTGTTAATATTTGATTTTTGTAACTACGGTTACATTATGAGTTGCTTCAACCCTCCATCTTTGTTCCTCCACACTGCTTCCTCAGCCCGAGTCAATATATAGCCCAGCTCCATCGCCTGCTGTAGAGAAAAACACCACTGCTTTCACATGCATGCCACATCGCACATGTCAGGTAATCTGTCTCTTCTCTTTTTTGTCTCTCTTCTTTCTGTTGCATCAGCCATCCATTACACTTAATCTTTGTTGCATTAGGTCTCCTGCCTCCTCTTTCTTTCCCTTTCTCACACTGTTAGCCGAGTCTTTCTTTTTTTAACTGCATCTTAGATATACACATAATACTGACAAAATAGAATTGGAGATTCCGTGTGGGAGAAAAAGAACTGCAGGCTAATTTTGACATCCAGAGATCCTTTCTATTTTCTATCACAGAAATAATCTTAATCGTAAAAATGACCCGACCCACAATGATTTATTTTTTAATCAAAAAGGTCGGCAAGCGGTAAAATCAATTTTGTCACCGGCAGTTGTGTTTTAAAAAACCTCTATGCTAAAGGTGTGTAATGCTGACATTCAATACACATCCAGACTAGATTCCTGAAGCAATTTAACCACAGGGGTTATTGAAATTGTATTGCTACCGACGACGACATCTTTCCCATTTACTAAAAAGTCACTGATATTGAGTTGCAGCTCCTCTGAAATTCATCAGTCATCATCCTCTGAAATAGACTGAATAGTCTGGAAAATATCGTTCTGATTGGACGATATCTCTAAGTGCTTTAGGTGGGTCAGTAATGCCATTTTTAAATGCAGCCACTGGGGGCCACCTAGAGAGCGTAATAGCATATCCTTGCTATTTCCCTTTAAGTTTTAAATCCTTCTTTTGTAAGCAGTGAATAATCTCTAGGTAGCCTGGAGGAATCTTTGAAACATTTTGTTAAACTATTTCAAAGAAAGAGGCTTTACTCTGATTTTTTTTTTTTTTTTTTTTTTTTGATGTAGAGGAAACTGCTGTCCTGAAGGAAACCGCTTGCTTTAATGGTTCCTCATTTAAATAAAACCTGAGGTGCTTTTGTCCTTCGTACACCCCTCGCTTTTTTTCTCTCTCCTGGACGGCCTCCGATTCAATTTTGACAGAAAGGCTCAGCCATCACATTAAATATTCCTCATGTTGTCAGCTTGTTGATCCTGTGTGTTGCTTTTCGAAGCCACCCCTGCCCTTTCCGCAGCTAAGTAGCCACCGTGGGTCGAGCCTTTGCTGCACTAATCAAACCTACTTAGCACCTGCCCTCCCTCAGGTTAGAAAGCTACCCCATGTCTGTGTCTGCCTGCTTGTGTATGGGTGTGTCTTTTGCTTGACCTGCACTGCTTTGACTTGTGTGTGTGTGTGTGTGTGTGTGTGTGTGTGTGTGTGTGTGTGTGTGTTTAGTCCTGCTGCAAATATTACAAATAATTTGGTTTCAGTCTGCATGTCGCTTTACCACATCAGAACGTATTCAATATCAAAATGCCCATCAGTCCCATTAAAATGGGTCTAAATTGTTTCAAAATACAAACCCTTTTTCGCCTCTGCTTTCTGACAGGAAAATGATTACCATAAACTTTCTGCTTCTGTTTGTGTGTGTGCTTGCATGTATATGTGTTTCTGAACCGACGCTTTTTCTTCAGCTGCGCTTTCCCGCGTCGCTATGTTGCACCAAACAAAACAGTAAAATCATAGTAGAGGCTTTTACTGTAAGTGCATTTTATTTTCCTTCTGTCCCCCAGCTGTGAAGGCACATTTTTTTCCTAACTACCCCTGAAACATCACCCTAAGTGTCTCACTGCTAATGTAAAGACGACAACTTGATGAAACAGTAGGCAGTCAACACAAATGCTGCTATTATGTGAAGAAGTGTAAACTGCAGTATCTTTTTTTTCAGAAAGCCAGAATTTCTGGCAAAACCTTTTAAGCTCGATCAATGGGGAGTAATGGTCAAGCTTGGATAGACATGCAGTGCTGGGCGAGCTTTTTCACTCAACACATCAATGTTCTGGCATGGCCCAGTGTGTGTGTGTGTGTGTGTGTGTGTGTGTGTGTGTGTGTGTGTGTGTGTGTGTGTGTGTGTGTGTATTCGTGCGCGCTTCAGTTCTTAGTCTGGTGTTGCCAGACTCCAAGCTAGCTAAAGGAAACAAGCAAAGGTTTTTTTTTTGTTTTTTTTTTTCTGTATTTAAGAAATGTGGAGTTTTTCTTCAGTAGTAACATTTATAAACAGATGGGTTTTCATCACAGAGCATATGTTGCATGAGACTGGTTTTAGTCACTCAGAAGAGTTACGACTTTGTATGAACTTATTAATATTTATGGGATTACTGTTTTGCGGTATGCAGCAGAATGATACAGCATCTTTCACTATGTGGTGACATTGAAGTGAATATTATGAATTTGCTCTCCCTTCGTACGTGACACAAATTAATGAGAAGTTTCTTATTGTGACAATCTGATCGAGAGTGCGGTGATTTACCTTTGTGTCGTCTTGTACACAACAGTCATCGATAACGGACTCCAGCGAGGAGAGAGCAGCAGCTGTGAAAAGGGACAACAAGGACAAGGTTGGTATTTCCAGTGACCCTGCACTGACAGCTTGTATCAGTGTTTTGTATTTGTTGTTGTCTCACAGTCAGCTATCGGAAAGTGTTGCTCGCTGCAATAAGATCCAGGTTTGAAATATGACAGTGTTTCAGATCAAGAGTCGGTGAGCTCAACTTTTCAACATGAACTCGGGATGCGCTGTGAAAGTTAACAGCGGCATATGTCTGTCATGTCTGTGTATGTGTTGTCTTCTAAAGTTGTTGCCCTTTGTCTCTTCTCTGTAGGAGGGTGACAGTCACAGTAGACTTTTCCTCCGCCTCTCCCCAACTAACCCTTTCACTCCTACCCCGTTTAAGGTTTGTGGGTCTCTGTGTTGTTCTTCCCGCTTTTCCTTTCCGTGCATGCTTGTACAGATGTGTTGATTTACCGTGACACAGGTCATGTATTGGATAATCTTAACATGCTGTACATGCATCCACTTGTACGTGTCCTAACATCTCCTCTGTCTGTCTGATTTCCTTTGTGCATTTTTGTGAGAACATCAGAATATCTTTTGTCTTTTGTTTTTTTTCCCACTTTCTTTCAAAGAATAGTTGAATCAATACTCAGATCTCAGTTGATTGGTGGACTTAAGCAAATTGTAGATTTTTGGCTTGGTATCACAATTCAATAATCTAAACATGCTTTGTATTTCTACGCAACGTGATAGTAATCAAAAGTTTGATTATGTTGCTCTTGTTTTTCAGGTAAGTCTATTATGAAAGTCTGATGTGTGAATATTTTGATTATAAATGATTACAGCACTTATAATGAAGTAATTCAATTTAGTATTCTTGACATAGTTTAATTTTATCATACTTTTAGGCTGTATCTGAAACAGGCTGATTAGCCTACTTCTGATTTTAGCCTCTGGAACCATATTACATAACTTTTATTATGTTTAATTATGTTCCAACCCGAAACTAACATACTCTGCTCAAAGTGATGAAGCTGTTAATGTAAACCAAGCATATGGCCTCTGTTGATTACATCAGCAGCTCTCATGTGCCTTCCTATCCCTTTAAACCTCACATCAAGTTGATTCAAACTTAATTGCAGAGTGAAATCCTCTCTTTCTCTGTGCTTTGCACTAATAAACTATTTTCCAACTCCATCTGCGGCGTGACAGCCGGCGAAGCGTGAAGTGGCGAAGGCATCTCCCACCAGCACTGTCCTCCCCCTGCCAGTGGTGCCTCATGTGGGAGAGACTGATACAGACACGCTGACAGAGATTCCTGGCAGACCTGCCGAGGCAGAGGAGGAAAACGAAGAGGAGGAGGAGGTGGAGGACGAGTTTGGATACAACTGGAGTGAGTTCACTTTGTCTATTTCTAATGGTGCGGTTATATATTCACTTAGAGATGACAGTAAAAATGTGCATTTAGTTATATTTTTGTCTTTGGTTTTAATTTATTTAATACTGGGTAATTGTAAATTAAGCAGGTATTATTTCAAATATGTACAATGTATACTATACAAACATGTGAATGTGACCAGTGACCAGTTTTTGACTTAATACGTGGACATTTCACCTAAATAGAGTCAATTAATTGAGACAGGCAGGATATTTATATGCTTGCGGTCACATGCATTGTCACATAATTGCCACTAGAGGTCCCCCAACTTCCATGTTAGTCTTGCCTGCTCATAAAATCCAGCCAGTCTGCAATAAAACTACACGGATTCACATGCTTGTGGTGGTTGTATCTCAGCAAAACCTGAAGGACTCAATGCCCCAATTAAGCTATTAGCATCCTGCAGACGCTGTAATGTCAGCTGTAGGATGAGCTCTCTGATTCAAGGAGAACCGGTCATATTCAACTCAGGCAACCAGCAGAAAGGACAGACTTCCAGCCTTCAAACACCTGGGACTATATCTGTCTGTATGTGTGTGTGTGTGCCTGTGTGCGTGTGTTAGGGAGAGACAGAGCCCATCCTGCGGGGATAAGATTGATGAGGTTGGGCCCAGGGAGGTGAGTTGTGGAGATTAGTACAGGACTGATGGTTCAACAGTGGCAGGGAGCCCAGAACAACAGGAGCCCATTGGTCTGAACAGCTATCTAACACACCAGAGACAGGAGAGGTGGAGAGAGAAAGAGAAGGGACGTGAGTGAGAACAATAGAGACAAGACTGAGACAAAAAAAAAAAAAAATAGAAGGTGAGACCGAGACCAAAATAAAATCTGCAGTCTGACATTTAAAACTTTTTACAATTTACTTTTTGTGACCATGCATCTTACACCTGCCCCCTTTTCCAAGCAACATGACATGAATTGATATGGGACACCAGGATCAAGATAAAGCTGGCACTATCCAGCAGCATTGTCATCTTACATCCGTCTGCCACGACTTCATCTGCCTCTTTCAGAAAACATAATCCGGCGCTATGGCAGCCTCCCAGGTGTCCTACACATGATTGAGCTGGAGAAAGGCAAGACAGGCCTGGGCCTCAGCCTGGCAGGGAACAGGGACCGCTCTCGCATGAGTGTGTTCGTGGTGGGAATAGACCCCAACGGGGCGGCCGGGAGGGACGGACGCATGGTGGTGGGGGATGAGCTGCTGGAGGTGAGCTGTGTATTGATTGTATTTCTGAAGTGATTGGTCATTTTGTCAAAGCTTTTTTCTGATGTTTTCCTTTTGATATCACCATTTTTGCATTGCATGTTCACTCTTGGTGATAAAGTGTGCGTTACTGAGCAATTTTGTTTTTATTCTGTTAGATCAACGGGCAAGTCCTTTATGGCCACAGTCACCAGAATGCATCCTCCATAATCAAGAGCTCTCCATCCAAAGTCAAGATCATCTTTGTGAGGTATAAAAACACTTCTTAGCGCTTCTTATTAAAGCATCTATGAACACATTTCCATGGCAACAGCTACTATATTTTACTAGTGCTTATAATAATAACATGAGTAAGTTTATTCTAGGTCTATTGTAATGCTATTTAAAATCCAATAGAGGGAGCTATTGTAATTCAACAGAAGGATGTACTTGAAGGTGAAGTAATACAATAAATATTCAGTAGTGACGAGCAGCTTCTGCCACATGTCTCTGTGAAAAAAGGAAAGGATTTATTCACTTGAAATCATTAATCCACCACAGCTTCTCCAGTAATTTAGTCTTTTTCTTTTTCTTTTTTAAATATCACATAGATCAGTCAAGGTGACACTTGACTTTGTTACAGTGATTCACCCAATTTGTAGTGTGACAACCAGAAAAGTGACAAAATAAAGTCAATCTGCATACTAAACAACCCTGGATTTTTTAGTGCCTTGTTTATGGACAGCTATACTCCCACAATGCAATGCACATAGAAACTGCAGGAGCTTTTAGAGGATTTTGAATGGTGAACACATTCCGGAAACAATACCTTTGTAGGGGCAGTTTGGGCTATTACATCATTTTGTGAAGGTATAAAAGAGTCCAGTATGATTTCTTTTACACTAACTGCAAAAACACTATACTGTAAAGAATAGCATATAGTTCATACTGTATACAGTTAATATGTAACATTACCACAGACATATCATGACCCTCTTCCACAAAGTCTTTACCAGATCACGCTACTTAACCTCCTACTTAACTCGCATCCCTTTCCTGACCCCCTGAAAGACACACTGTGATCAGCGCACGTAAATCACGGCTCCGCTGTCACGAAAGCAGAGGAGCAACGATTTACGTGAATTATGACTCTTTGAAACAGGAACACTGAGGCGCTGAACCAGATGGCTGTGGGACCTGTGAGAGAACACGAGGGAGACACAGTGGAGCCCCACGCTGAGGTACGACTCTGCCTATGGCCACACACGTTAACACACAAATTACACACGTGACGCACAAGCGCTCAAACAGAAGGCCTCATGGGGATGTCACAGACTAAAGTTCCAGCTGCATACAAACTGCGAAATGCACACAATAACCTTTATTACCGTTTAAACTCTACCCTTAGGAAATTCAGCGTGCTGCCTGTGCCAAGCTCCTGAATTGTTTTCATGTATGTTTGCTCCCAAAAGTCACTTTGTGTGGTCTCAACTTCCCGTGCCTGTGTGCAACTCCCAAGAAACCCAAAAACCACAAACAGTGGTGTAGACACTCACAGTGCTGCACTCCCACCAGCCAACAGACACGCACACCAGCGCCAGTTATTTACTCCATACTGTACCGACTACCTTCTGCTTCCTTACAGCTAGAAACAGCTGCGGCTAATGGTGATGCCGACGCTTCAAAATATGTCCATCACACCATAAAGCTGAAGGTGAGATACACCGGACCCCACACAAGACAAACCCTGTCCCTTTGAAAATGCCAAATTAAGGACAATAATAGAGTCAAACTCTTGGAAGCAATGCAATAATGAGGGAGATGTTCACACAAAAAAAGTCAGTGGGGTATGGCAGAAAGACAGAGAGGGAGCACACAGGAGCAGTCGAGTCTGACAAGCTGCCAAGACAGAGAAAGGAGTCAGAACATTGTCAAATAAAAGAGTGCATAAACAAAACAATCAGTGTATGGGAGAAATAAAAGAAAAGGAATAGATTTTTACTTCATGTGGTTATTATTATTTGAAGTTTTTTGTTTTTTTTTCAAATGTCATGCTTCGAGACTTTCAGCACCACCAGTAAAACTCCACTCAGCTCCATCACATTTGGGTGGCAGGAGAGATTTCACCAGGGGATATCTCAAAATCTTACCAAATGAAACTGACAATATCTGCATGGCTAGACACCACAAGAGGTAATTGGAAAAACATGCCATTTGTGATTCAGGTGAACGGACTAAATATAGAGAAATAGAGTGTGACACGAAACAAGAGCGAGAGAGAAGGAGAAAAAGGGGGAACTTTGCTGGAAGAGCTTTAGCATCTGGATGGGACCCCCCCCCCCCCCCTTGTCTGGGACCATCCATATGGCGTATTAAGCGACAGGGGATGACAGTGTAGACGCAGCAGCATCTGGGCAGCTCATTGACATGACGTACACAATCCTACAAAATCCTCTCTAGGAACAAAAGATCAGGCTAATTATCTTTTCTGGAGATAATAGTCATGGGTAATGCTTGTTTTCGGTAGCTGGTGCAGCTCTAGTTATTTAGCACCTGTTTTGCACTAACGCTGTTTTTCTCCAATAGGAGGACGGAGGACTTGGCATCACCTTTGTCGAGGGAGACACTGAGAGCGGAGTTGAAATTCAGACAATATCTGAAGTGAAAGGACACACAGGCAAAGTATGCATTAAAAAAACAAAAAAAAAGAAAGAAAGATAAAAGAAAGGTTCCTGTTCATAATACAGTTAATTTCGGTTTGCTAATCAAAGATGTGATCTGCTACATGTAGGAGGGCTGCATGAGACCGGGGGACAAGCTCTTAACTGTGAATGGTGAATCAGTGCTGGGGTACACTGTGGAAAAGGTGTCATTATCTCTTACTATCTTCAGAAATTTGGATTTGTTTACACTGTGTTTCTTAACGTAATACAGATCAAATACGATCCTTATTCTTGGTGGTATAATAATTGAAAAAACAAGAGCTGCCGCAGTATAAAGACAGGGTCTGATTAGTAACTGTGCTGTGTTTTAGGTCAGTTCTCTACTGAGAAAAGCCAAAGGTCCAGTGAAGCTAACCTTCTCTACAAATGAGACCTCCTCCTCCTTCTCCTCTCCCCAGTCAACCTGCCTGGACGGGGGTTACTCAGATGGTGTCCTCGCCAGCCTGCCCAGCATGCCTAGCGCCGCCACAGCTATGCTGAGCCCAGCAGAAGCAGAAGCAGTCACTAGTGAGTCTCCTTACAGTTCCAAGATTTGCTTGACTTGCTTTTAATGATTTAAAGACTGAGTTTGGTTTCTTATCCAGGAAGATAAATAATGTATCACTAGTCATTGTATAGCAGTTAACTAACCCAATTCCCTGCTTTTAAACTGAATAGATGGCACATTGTTTTTGACATTATATCTCTATACTTTTGCTTCCTCTATTATAGGCCTGAGTCGCTCCTCCACCCCTTCCACTCTGGCCTGTGACCCAGCGACCTGTCCCATCATCCCCGGCTGTGAGACCACCATCGACATCTCCAAGGGCCGCACAGGCCTGGGCCTCAGCATCGTGGGAGGCTGCGACACCCTGCTGGTAGGAGACACAACAATATGAAAACACATCTGCTGATGTGGCTGTGTCACTTTCCTAATGGGCTACTCTGATCTGGGGGGAACACTGTTACTAGTTGATTGTCACCAGAAGCATCCGTGGAGTCAAGTACAACCATGGCAACACAAATATTGTATTCTCAGTTTTTACAATAAATACACTGTAAATATGCAAGTATTTAGAAGTTACATGACTGTACTTTGTCAGTTCCCACGATGCCACCCACTTTGGTATAACTTAGGTTTGAAATAGCCGTGGCGGCTCAGGAATGTAGGAAATGATGTTGTCACAGGCGTCCTCCTCCTCCTCCACCTCCTCCTCCTCCCCCCCGCTCCTGCCATCCTTTCCTCAGCCCATCTATTCTGTCTGCTCAGTCAGGCTTGGGGGAGCAGCTCTTTGTCTGGCCTCGGCCGCAGCAGACAATATCCAGCCCTGGAATGTAACCTCTGAACCCCAAATGACACTCGCACTGGAACGCAGAGAAAACACCCTGGAAGTCAGCACCATGCACACTGAGAATACAAAATAATGTCTGTCTGCTGTCAAATGCAAAAGAAATTCACAAGTACTCGTGGTTTTTAAAGTCATTCTCTGTCTCCAGCGTGGCACTTATACAATCTCTAATTTCCTCTAAGCAAACCGTTACTCCTCACCTTTGTCTCCTCTTCTTCATATTTATTTGCTCTTCTATCTCTTTCTCTCCAGGGGGCCATCATTATCCATGAAGTTTATGAAGAAGGGGCAGCCTCCAAAGATGGCAGGCTTTGGGCAGGAGACCAAATCCTAGAGGTGCGGTGCGGTGCAGTATAATAAGCATCACATATGACCTAGATTTAAAAAAAAAAAAAAAGAGGCATTACACGCTTCAATAAGATGTTGCGGCCTGAGGAGTTTCAACATGAAAGCTTGGGTTTCAAAGTTCAATCAAGGATCAAGTAGTTTGATTCTGCAAAAATGTGTGATAAATGAGCTGATATATATCTCAAGTGTAAGTGATATCATTATTTGGCAACAAAAAAAAATCTACTGGCTGTTGGCTGTTAGTGAGTCAATATACTGAAGGATGAAGTGATTATAAGTCGAAAGTCAGGAAGTAACCTCTCGTATGAAGCCTGTCTGTATTATGAGGATTGACAAGTTAAATATCCCGGCTCAACTTGGATTTGCCCTCTATTTGACCTCATGCTTTGTCACAGAGGGAGGGCAGGGGTGGAGCTCAGGAGTTTCATTATGGTAGCTCAATCAGACTTGAACTGAAAAGTGCACATGCATGTACGCACGCACACACACACACACACACACACACACACACACTCTCTCTCTTATAACTTAATTGCCCTCTACTATTCATTTCTGTCCCAGAGCCAAGCTGTTGTGTTTAGAAAATAGGGTCAGAGAGAAAAAGTGAAAAGAGCGGTTTCCTGGTCCACAGCGACGCCATTAGCTACTATGGGAAAAAACCTTTGCATGTCCATGGCGAAAGCTAATGAGGTATTTCCCCCGTTTAATGTGGTAAAAAAAAAAAAAAAAAAAAACGCTGGACATGGGTCCTTGAACTGACGAGTTGAGCTTCTCACAGTTTTGTGGGAAGGCTGCTTCCCTTTAGTTAAACTCAAGTGCTCTAACATCACCCTGTGGTTTAAATATTATGAACCAGTGTCCAGATTTGTCAGCAGTTTGGGTTTCTACAGAAGAAATGTAACCTCAGTGGTGATAGGAAAATTCAGATTTAGCATTAAATTAGGCTGTTAGCACATTTCATAGTCCTGTGCTTCTTCCACTTTATATCAGGAACAGAAGAATAAGCATTCGCTACTTTGCTGAATGGCCAAAAATGGAAATGTGCTCAAGCAATTTTGTATTTATGAATTCAAAATCAACCTTAAGTAGTTTTTAGTTGGAACAACCTCATATTGCTGGAGCACACGTTTTTGTGTACGTTTTTCTCGTCACAGGTGAATGGCATCGACCTGCGTGCAGCCAGTCATGATGAAGCCATCAATGTGCTGCGGCAGACGCCGCAGAGGGTCCGGCTGTCTGTCTACAGGGATGAGGCCCAGTACAAGGAGGAAGACCTGTGGGACTCATTCACTGTGGAGCTGCATAAGAAGCCTGGTCATGGCCTGGGCCTCAGCATTGTAGGGAGGAGGTGAGAGAGATTTATTATTAGCATTACTGCTTAATGTGTAGTATGCACTTATTAATGTACAACAGAAGATTTATTATAATACTGAATAAGCTTTACATATGAAAATAGTTGAAAAGGTATTTGTTTTTCAAGAGCTTGGTTTTTTTTTGTCATATTAGGAATTTTGCTAACCCTTTAAAATGCTTTTAGTTAGCCAGTTCTACTAGATATACATTTTTAAACAAACTGTTGGTTCTCTGGTAACTATTGTGTTAAAAAAAAAATGTTTAAAGAACCACCAGGCTACAACTATAAATAATAATGAGGTATAGAATGGTAAAGGTAATCAGGCGAACATAACTACCTAGTAGTGTAAGTGTCAACATAGTAATTGCACTGTTTTTCTTCCTTAATGCAGATCACGGGACCAGAGGTAACCTATTATTAAAAACCCTTACATTTAAATATAGAGTAGAAGAAGTAAATAGACTTAATAGGTACAAAATCATATGTAGTCAGAGGTGTTACCATGTATTTGTTTTTACCATCTTTAGACCTTTCCCCTTATGGAATCCTTATCATAACTGGGTTTAGTTACCGGGGAAAGCTATTGTATTTAAAAAAAAAAAAAAAAAAAAGAATGTTTACATATAGATTCATAAAATTTCCTTTTGTCCCACACGACATGTCTGTGAAAGATATGCAAATAAAAACAGCAAAGAAAAAAAAAAGTTCAGAATCCTCACAGCTAACTGGAACACATCACGCTTAAACGGCTTCTAAATCCTATTTTATGGTTGAATGAGTATGTACCTGCCTGGCTGGATTGCTGACATGTTCAACATCATAGAAATGAAAAGTGAGTCAGCACCTCACCAGAACTGGTTTGTGTTCCACTCATTTTCAGTGGCACCAGTGGCAATCGGGACCCCGGCGTATTGCCACAGACAAGCTTGTAACCACATGTTCACTTTATATAGGAATGCTGCTCCTTATGTTCCCACTAGAGCTGTGGAGGAAGATTTACACGAGTCTTACCAGGACGTGAGCTGGCAAATTGTTTTACACATAAAATCAACTCGCGCTTTTATTCTGGTGGAGAATTTATGGGTTAAGGCACATGTGGGAAATGGCCTGCTGGTCCACAGGCTGGCAGTATGCTGCTGCCCGGTGTGTGCAGTGCGATGATTGATCTCACCCTCAGGATAAGTCTCAGGAATGGTTTAAACAGGCCACACATGCACATGAACTACTGATTATGTGTATGAATGTGTATCTTTGTGTGTTTTTTATACCTTTCTGTCTGCAGTCTCTGAATTTGTTCAAGTGTGTAAATGCTTGGAACCAACACATTTGGGTCCTCGTAGGTCAACTGCACTAAAATGCAGGGGAAAAAGGCCCAAGTTGGGGCCACGGTTGGGCCAAATGTTTGGGCAGCAGTAGGCAGATCAACTGTTAATGCAGTTGTAATCGTTTGCCTCCATCACAGCGTTTTTGCTACACAAGTGGAAAAAACAACTGAAATGCTCAATCGGATGGAAAAACAGAAAAGATAACAGACAACCTAAAGCCTTCTGCTAAAATGGAAAGCGCAAGCTAGCAGTTAGTGGTGAGGAGCTGTGACAGCCAAGTATCTCTGGCACTGTGGACTGAGTAGGATCGAGTTGCCTTGCTTCACAGCTTCTGATTTCGTTAGTCTCGATCCACGTGGAGACTGGCACCTAAGATATGCAAAGTCTGCAGGAGACGTGCATTTGGAAAAAGTCGTAGGCTAAGGATTCATCATCTTCTCTGTAGTCAAGTTAATGTCCCAGAGGTCTGTGCTCAGAGCAAGCAAAGATTTTGACAGTGTTGACCTTTGACTGTAGCCAAACATGGACATACTGTATTTTCTATGACACCTCAAACTGCTGTGTAGAAGGACATTATGAAGCTTAGATGCAGGTTTACCACAAGCTGCCATCTTGTCAGATAGTAGAGCCTCAAAACCAAAATTTGGTCAAAGCTTTAAAGCATACAGGTTGCTGAGGCTGCAAGCAGCAATCATCATAGCTGAGTTTGGCAGGTGCAGACACCCATCAATCAAGCCCCAAAACATACGTCTCCTAAAGGCTCAATGTACCGTATCCTTAATAGAACAGTGACTCTCAAAATTGTCACCAACACACTTATTAGAGGACGCAAAATAACTGTTAGTTACAGGGCCAATAATGTCGTCTTCTAAATAATACACAGTAACTTCTCACTTGTGTGTGACTGCAAAATGTTCACACGAAGCAAATACAGGATCCAAGATGGAAAACACATTTATTGAGGTCACAGTTTGGGGGGGGGGGGGGGGGGGGGGGGGGGGGGGGGGGGGCCACTATTTGGTATTAAATATTCCATTTCACCAGCTGTTTGTCAGTGGTTTCCCAAAAGCTGTATTCCATATTTGTGCAGAGGTCCATTGGAAAAATGTGAAATTGCTGGATCAGTAGTGTTTCATCAATTACAAATTCAAAATCAGAACTCTGGGGAATGACACGGATAAGGTCAACGAGCAGAGTTGTCAACGTAGACGTGCAATACAGTAACAGATAATGTTATCTCATTTCCATGCCTTTTCTTTCCACCTTTCCCTCCAGGAATGACACAGGAGTGTTTGTGTCTGATATCGTGAAAGGAGGTTTGGTGGACACCGATGGTCAACTGACGCAGGGCGACCAGATACTGTCAGTCAATGGCGAGGACGTCAGGTCGGCCACTCAGGAGGCCGTGGCTGCACTGCTCAAGGTACAGCTACCCCAGTGAGAGTAAAACATCTGCTTTAAACTGCGCTGGGAGAACCAAAATGGAAAACAATGTGGCATTTTGTGTTGTAGTGCTGCGTGGGGCCTATAAAACTGGAAGTGGGGAGGTTTAAAGCTGGCCCCTTCCACTCTGAGAGAAGGCTTTCTCAAAGCAGTCAGGTAAATTATCACTCATTTAACATCTATCAAGGATAAGCTTAAGGCAGAATGGAAATCACTCTTATGTAATCCCTGAACGGAGCAGAAAAAGAGAATAACACCTCTGAATGCCTTTTGTTTCAGATGAGTGAAACAGGCAGTTCTAAGGCGGCCTCTCAGTCGTGTTCAGACTCTGGAAACCTTCCTGCTGACCCTGACAAACTAAGTCAGAGTCAGGAATGTAAGTATCTTGAGTTTGCAACCATGAAGTAACACGCGGATATTAATCCAACCATTAATCCAATAATGTGAACCATGTGTTTGTTTTTACTTTGACATTTTCTCAGCTCCGGAGCATCAGGACACCAGAACAGTGGAGTTCACTAAAGGTCCCAATGATTCTCTGGGTATCAGTATCGCAGGCGGTGTGGGCAGCCCTCTGGGGGATATACCCATCTTCATCGCCATGATGAACCCTGTCGGCCTGGCTGCTCAGACCCAGAAGCTCAAGGTACTAGACGTATTCCTCCCACTCAGTCAATTTTTTTATTTAGCTTCCAGCCTAAATGAAATGAAAAATTCACATACCAGTAATTCATGTGTGGGATTTAATGTGAATGTCAATTACTTACAGCCAAGTCATTCCCACTCACTTTAGTCAGTTGGTGAATCTCAGACCCTCCAAAAGGTCAAGAGCCCGCCGCCTTTAGCAGTGAACTTTGCAGTTAAATGACAGACAAACTAACAATTGTAGCTCTGTGTGACGCAGGACCGGAGCAGGACAATAGCCACTACGATGGATCATAAATCTCCCACTCCTGCATTCAGATCCTTAAGCCTACAGAAGGGCTCTTTGAAATGAATAGGGGGAATCTTGAATAGTATATTCAAGCTGCTTCTGTCCTTTCAGCCAGAGTGAGAGATGAGATCGCTACATAATGAAATTACTCATCTGAACACAAGCATGGTTTTGCATTTGTATGGCGCGGTGAATTCAATTTTCAAATAGTTAGCAAACGTTTCATATCCAATTATCGTTCAGAGTTTGTCAAATATTTTGGAAGCAACAGTGAAGCCGTAGAAGAAGCACCAGTTCTCCACTGCAGAATGTGCCCGGCCAGTTTTCCTCATGCGTTCCCTTTGAAATTGTACTAAACTCTCACTTTTCCAGATTGGGGACCGGATTGTCAGTATCTGTGGAACCTCTGCTGAAAGCATGAGCCACGCACAGGCAGTCACTCTGCTCAAGAATGCCACAGGCACAATACAGCTGCAGGTCTCTGTGAATGCACACACACACACACACACACACAAACACACACTTTCTTTCACCCTTTCTGTTCTTATTAGATAAAACCCACAGACACAGTTGGATAATCTACAGCTGAACTTGTCCTGTATATTTTATCTGCGTACACAGTTTTCACCCGGGAAGAGCAGTCGAAGGTTACCAGCGGCACACTTTGAAGTACCATAAAACCTGTCTCGCTCATCTAGCACTACCACCGTCCTATCAGTCTTTATCTTGTCAGTAAATCAAGTCGGCCATACCATAACTGTGTTCGGTTGTTTGCGTGTTTGCTCGTGCACCTGCAGGTGGTAGCAGGTGGTGACACAACCGTGACGGGTCCCTCTCAGGATCCGGCAGCTGTGGGTCTCACACCCACCTGCATTTTCCAGGACGACCTCGGGTATGAACTGGTTTATTACACAGACAGAGTATTTTGATGTGTCTCACCCCTATCATGTTGGTCTGTATCCCTTACATGCTAGATTTTAAATGTTACAACATTTTAAATTCTTGACGCACCTTAACTTTCAAATAAAAACCGTAATATTCAGATATTAAGGGACAGCGTGTTGCAGGGTTTTTTTCTATTTTGACAGTTTTAATAATGCTAGGGGGTGTGTCTGGGTTTCCATCAGCCCACCGCAGTATAAGACCATCACTCTTGAGAGAGGACCAGACGGACTAGGTTTCAGTATAGTTGGAGGGTACGGCAGCCCCCATGGAGACTTGCCTATCTATGTTAAAACAGTTTTTGGAAAGGTAAGTGGAGCATGACGCAACAATTTATCTTTGCAGATCTCACAGACTGTGTGTTATTAATCAAAATCCTATGTCCATGTTTGTGTGTGTGTGTGTGTGTGTGTGTGTTTAGGGAGCAGCAGCGGAGGATGGGCGTCTGAAACGGGGAGACCAGATCATGGCCGTTAACGGGCAAACTCTGGAGGGCGTCACTCATGAAGAAGCCGTCGGGATCCTGAAAAGGACCAAAGGAACTGTCACACTCACTGTGCTATCATAGACACACCTTCGCAAACACCCACAAACATCCGCAAACATCCGCAAACGCACACATACACTCCTCACTGCTTTTCCCACACTCCTACTTGCACCCGAACTTAACCTACACCTTCAAAGACTGAAACTTTAAAGGAGCAACACAGAGCGCAGGCGTAGTGTCGTGTCTCACAGCAGTGGAGCTCACGCCGGCAATATTTCACAACCAGGTGATTGTGTTACAATCACCAGATTTTCAGCTGTGAAAATATGCAAACTGAAATATGAACAGCCACACACTGATTACTCATTGTAGCTTTGAACACTGTGATCCATTGAAGCCTACTACGAGTAGCTTTACATGCAGTATATGTCATTATAAAAACTTGTCACTAAAACAATCGCTCAAATTGATCCTAAAAGTAATATGTTAAGTAAATATACTGTATGAATTCATAAATTGTTCACCATATAGTTATGTTTTAAATCTGTTGTTACATAAATCTCAAAGATGTTGTGAATAGTATTAGAAACACTCCATGACTGGAGTGAAATATTCACTGGACACTGTGACTAGTATTTTACCATTTACTGTATTGAGATACATGGATTGGACGATCGTTACTCTCAGTAGCAGAGAACACCCTCAAGCAATATCAGAATATTTCGACAGAGGAGAGGCCTATTTTTCCAAGGGTTTTTACAGAGGTACAGTCTTGCACAGGTGAAAGTCCGAGTAAAATCAGAGCATGAAACAGCATGAAAATACCCTAATGACTATTTTAGCTGATAACATTATTATTTGTCTTTTACGTTGCACTGCTGTTGGCAATTCATCATACTTTGAATTTCCTGATGCTGATGCTGCTATAACGGTTGGTGTTACATGATGAAGTCACTGTTGTTTTAGCAAAAAGAGATGTCTGGTGTTGTAAAATACACTGTGCATCAACAAATTTCTGAAGGGAAAGATGTGAAATCCTTTAAGTGTGTTTTTAGTGCACACTGCATGAGGAATTGTGAATGAGTGAGTGTGTTTGTGTGACCTACTCACTGAAATATAGTGCTGCTAAAGCTGATGTATGAGGTATTATGTCACAGTACTTGGATTTTGTAAGTATTAATAAATGTTCACTTAATGAAAGTGCACAGGAGAGTAAAGAAACTGTTATTTAGGTTGGAATGGACGAGTGGTTCTTCGTGTCAGATGGATTGTAGAATGGACCTGAACTCTTTTTGACCTTTATTGTTTACCCAAAATGAAGACACCCAGTGTGTAGTTTCTGAAGTCCTTATGCATTTGTTGTGTGGTCTAGTGTCAGAGAGAGTTGTCTATTCTCTGTCTTATCACCTTAAATGTGTCTCTAGTACTGTCAAAGTGACAGTATTGAATTTATTCACACTGAATTAAATAAAAGTGACCTTTGGATTCAATCAGTGTGTTCCACTCTTGCTTTGTCTTGTACTTCACTTCCCCTTAATGAATTAATGTGACCTAAAACACATGTCATCATTACATCCACCAAGAAAAGTAGCCCATCAAACCCTCAGCCAAATAACAATAAACTTAAATATGACCACATAATGTTATTAAATCAATAGCAGTCATTGGGCATTGTGAAATACAGGGCAACTTTCCAAGTGCACTGGCTCTTAGTCAATCTGACTGATCCATACTGAATGCTTGGGTTATTGTACAGTATACATCACATTTGCTGCACATCGCATGGATAATTTTTTATCTGGGAGATAAAATGTACTGTCGCCAGAGGTCATGTTTAAATGAAAGGGGAATGGATGTAATACAGGTGCTAAGGCAAGTTGAAATGTACATGAACAAAGATTTATCAATAACAAGGCCATGTGGAACAGCACGTGTGGTCTTGGCTTGAATAGACCCTCTGTTGTCACTTAATAAAGCCCACATAGACAGATAAAATATGGCATCCCATGTGTCTGACAAGCACAGCTGCTTCACAGCCTGTCACATGGTTAGTGCGAAGTCCTGTGCATGAAGTCCATTTCTTAAGTCGGTTTACAGCAAACACGAGGGCTACCAATTAATCAAGCAGGACCTTTGAAGTCCTGTGTCTAATGAGGTCTGGGCTTTGTTCAGAGTCAGTGGGCTGTTGGAGATGAACAATGTAGTACCTTCATAGAAGAAGTGCACATGCTCAAGTGTTGGGTGGCTCCTAAGTTCGAGACCCACGCTGTTACCTGCAGCTGCTGCTAGCTAAACAACAAGCTAGCTACAGCCTGCACTCAACAGCTGAGCCTTCAACCAAGCACCTGTTGTTTTAATGGTCACAGTGGGTTTAGAGGTTACCCAGCCTCCCTCCAGGATCGGGAGACGCAGGTTGGTTTACACAATGTTTGCCTGAACAAGCCTTAGATGTGAGATCAGATGTTGCCATTGCACCGTCATGCTCCACTTGAATGTGGGCAAATGGTGTAACTTTTCTGTGACGGTGCCAAAGCTAAATCACTTAAAAGGACAGAATTATCAAGCTGCCAAGCTAGCCTATGTGCATTTACATGGGATTTTCCCATGAACAAGACTTCTTTGTTGACCTCATAAACAAGAGTTATGACAAAGGCGCTGTTTACATCCTGTTGCATACAAAATGTCAGCTGTATAACTAAAGCGGCTTTAGATGCAGCCTGTGAAATAAGCTTGTCGCCGCATGTCCAAACATTTCAGAGCCAGTATTATCATGACTCATGCTAACTTCACAGAGGCTATCAAGAGGTTAAGCAAACGGAAACCCATAGTTGATGATGGGGCCATGATGACTCATGCCTAATGGGACACCATTGTGCCTGTTTGACTGGCTAGCAAGGGTTTGCTCTTTTATTTTTTTAATATCACAGAGCAAATAGGGACAAAGTGGTGGAAATAATAACACCAACACAAATGAAGCGCATACAAGCAGTTGCGCTTGTATTTACTGTTTTGTGTCTGATATTTTTAATATGCTTCACAGTTACTGCCTACATCATTCATCTACCGAGCACCTGATCTGCTTTGTGGGCTCTCCAACGTCATGCACCAGAGTCTGATATCTTTTTGCATGGATCAGGCATCACCTTTTCATGGTGAGTTTCTTTTTGTCTTAGACAACAGAGGGTCTTAAAAGGTCATCTTTTCCAAGCCTGCCCTCACGATGACACATTCTTGCATGCGCACACGAGCAAGCATAATTGAATTTCCACTGCGGCAGTGGTGTAAAATTGCAGCTAGATGAATGCACTGCTCTACAAGAAGACAATACTTCCCCTTCACCAGCTTTGAGGTCATTTGACCTTCCTGCACCGTGACTCTGTTGCCTCAAGTCTTGACTTAGCTGTCAGAAAGATTAGCACATCACAGGCGTGCACAATCCTCTGCACTGTCTGAGTCAGCACACATTAGTTGCTCTTTAACTGTCCTTCCTCTCAACACAATGGTGTAACTGTAGACAAATTGGCTGGTGATTGTTGGTGACATCAGAATTCATCCACTGGAGACAAACATGCCAAAAGCCAAGAAAATTTATCTCAATGAACATTTCTATCTTGAACTAATTTGCAAATGAAATGACTAATAAAGATTGGAATGTGAGAAGAAACTCATTAAGCCAGTTCCTATTTTTTATACGCAAGTACGATTAGGATTTATGGAAGTGATGATTAATAACCACAGACAATGAGAAATGAGTCCAAACCTTAAGGGGAATATGACCTCAGACTGGTAAACACGTCTTACAACTCAAACCGGGAGTGGGGAATTACTTGCTGGTAGAATGAACAAAACGCATTTGTGTGATAAATTTTACCCAGCCTTGCCTATAAGACGTGTCATTTGTTTACTCTAGTTTTACATATCTCGCTTTGGCGTCTTGTTTCCAGAACAAACAAAGAGACATATAACTATCCTCCTTTATTTAGATGCTAACTATTATATTTTTCTGAGTACGCAGCTGAGATACAAACAAACACATACTTTCCTTGTCCTTCACAACCTGAAATTATGCCAGAGTCATACTTTGCAGGCAGGAAGCGGGATGTTCTCATGATTTACAGCGAGGTTTTTCCTCAGCCACAGCTCAGCAGACAATCTCACGTTCCTTGACTGTTAAAATAAACCCAGGAGTTAACCAAAGCAGCGATGACATCATGCAGGATTGGATTTCCTCCTCACCTTTGGTGTGTTTGCACAAAGTGGAGTGTGAGGGCTGAGGAGTGTGTTTACACAGACAACAGAGCACATGTTCAATGAGGGAACACCAAACACTGACATTAAATGTTTAGTGTTGAACGCTTAACTGCCGTTATTACATGTTAGCAATGCAAACAGTCTACTCAGCTGAGACTATAACGACACACTAGACAAGACAAGTTTTTAATGACCCATCCATCTAAACTACAGTCTATCTCTGTCTGACCCTTCGCCTGATAACAGGAAGCTATTTCACTTTAAGGCCACCTCTTGTCTTAAACACGCCATGTGTGTTTCTCTTGGAATATTTGCATTTCAGTTACAGCTTCAAATTACATCATCACGGCCGCGGCCTGATAAGGCAGAGAGTGTAATCATCACTTTATGAGCTCTGTGTAAAGTAATGTGGTGACACAGTTGCTAGGAAATGTTTGTAGAGCTGAGGATAGAAGAGTCACCTTTGTTTGCTTGCGAGAGGTGCACATATCTGACCTCGTGAGAGGATGTGGCTGCAGGGCTGTTGAACCAGCATTCATGGAGAGAAAATATAGACATAGGACTTCAAGAAGTCAAATATAGAATGCCCTGGTGCGTTGAGCTTAATGCTAACATCAGCTAACATCCTCACAGAGACAATACCGGCATGCAAATGTTTATCAGGTATAAGGTTACCATGTTTACCATCTTAGTTTAACATCTTAGCATGCAAAGACTTGCAAATAAGCTTTCAGCATTCAGCTGAGGTGGAGACTAACATTAGTTTTCCAAATATTTTGTCATAAGAAATTTTAACCCACTGGTTGTTCTATCGAGAGAGAGTCAGAGGATCACCAAAGTTATTATAATTCCCATTTGTAGTTCAAAATTTTAGGGCATTCCATCCAATAGTTGTTGAGACATTTCACTCAAAACCAGAAATTGGAACCTCATTTTTGTGCTACAGGAAAAAGTCTGAAGATCAGGTGGTATCCTCAGTGGAACACAAATGTCTGTACAAAAATTTTGCCAATTCATCTAGTATATGTTATATTTCACTGAAGAGAAGTGTTGGTGACATTAGACGAAAAGTCAGCAGATCACGTAAGTCATTAAGATTCATCCTCCTTCAAAATCTGCAACAAATTTCCCAGCAATCCAACCAATAGTTGTCAAGACATTTCACTAAATACCAAGAGTGTCAATTTTATGGTGACACCAAATGACAAGTCAGGGGATCACCAAAGGCAGTAGGATTCTTCCTCTGCTGTCCATGAATATCTGTACAAACTTTTCATCCAGTAGTTAATAACATATCAATGTGAACCAAAGTGGTGGACCAACCGACACTAGAGCCATGCCAGTACTGTAACATACCACTGCAGCGTGCTTGCTCCACATTTGTTAATTGCCTGTATTATTGACTGCCATTTCTCTGCACCGCTGGTTTAAAAATAACGCATCCTATTGATTTTTAAGGCAGGATGGAAAAATAAACCAGTGAAAAAAACCCATTGAAGCCTAAGGCGCTCGCTGCTGTTTGAACTCATTTTCCATCTTCGTTGAGAAAACCTGCCTGTGCCATTACACTGAAACGGGTGTCAAATTAATTGACGTACCGTAAATAATCTTTTTCTGAAAGTGGTACTTACTCAGGCTTTGACTTGAATGTCTAACTTTTGATTAATGCGTGGCTCCTTTTATTATCCAGAGGATGACATTTTTAGAGCTTCTGTTATCATTCCCAGAGTTACAACCCGGGCTTTCACCCCTCCTTAAGACTGGGTTACAATTGTGAATTTTAAAGTGGGGTGATACATACGTCATTTGGAGCTGTCAACTCTCGAAAAATGAGAAAATTGTTTCGGCACATTCAAACCTGTCATCCCAGAGAGCTTTCATCAGCCTTTGATGCATGTTACCAAGTCATTACTCCAATCACACAACCATTATCTTAACTTAACCTATAATTGTTCATATATAGTATACAGTGGACCAAAGACTTGATAAAGTCATAAAATTCAGCTTCTGTGGACTTACTGAGCAGCTCATCGCTTAAAAGCCTAAAGGGTATATTTGTGCTACTCTGTTATTATTATCTGTTGAGTTGCATCCCAGTGATAACTTGAAGATGCCAAACAATACAGGGAAAGGTTAATGTTGGGATTTTGAGGGCACTGCAAGGCTACATTCTCAGACAGACCCATAAAAAGTCATCAAAAAGCCTGGACCAGCCATTGGTCTGGAACAGCCATTTTCT